TGTTCTTGCAGAAGACCCAGGTTTGAATCCCAGCACCCACATGGCAGCTAACAACTGTCTGTAACTCCAGTTCCAGGGGAGCCGATGGCCTCTTCTGACCTTTGCGGGCATTGCACCACAGGGGTGCACTTACCTACATGCAGGCAATACACGCATATACATACAATTAAAAAATAATAAAATTTTTTAAAAAGTTAAAGAAAAATGCAATTCTCTGTGAGATCAAGGTCAGCCTGATCTATATAGCAAGTTCTAGGCTAGCTGTCTCAAAAAAACAAAACAAAATAAAATGTCTTTTATGAATTCTTTGAGAATTTCACACCATGTGTTCCGGCCATATTCAAAACCCTCATCTCCTCTCAGGTCCACCCGTCTTCACTTCATGTCTTCTTTTTAAAGCCTGTAAGTCTAATTTGTGTCCTCAAATGGTCTTGGCTGTGGGTCTATCCACTGGGGCATGGTTACTATCATGACACCCTTAAAACCAAGTCCCCTCTCCTGACAGATATCAAGTGCCAATAGTTCCCCAGCTAAGGCTGTGGCTTCTTGACTGCCTCCCCTCCATGCTAGATTTTTGTCTAGCTTAGGAAGGGATCATTGCAGAAAGATTGTAAGAGCCAAAAGTGGTGGAAGCATAAATTTTTTTTTTCTTTAAAATTTTCTTTTCTTAGGCTGGGCATGGTAGCACATGCCTTTAATCTCAGCACTCAGGAGGCATAGGCAGGCATATCTCTGTGAGTTTGAGGCCAGCCTGGTCTACAGAGCAAGTTCTAGGTCAGCTGAGGTTACAGGGAGACCCTGTCTCAAAAAAGACCAAAGAAAATTTTTCTTTTCTTTGTGGTGCTGGAAATCAAACAGGGTTTCATGTATGACAGACACTACCACTATTTACTGAACTGTCTATCTCCAGCCCTGATTTAAAGTTTTCCTAGGGTCTACAGTTTCCACCAGAGGATCTAGAGATTAAGTAACTTCTTGGCTCAATTTTTTTGTACAAAGAATATTCCACAACATCCATGTTCCCCTCTTATATGCTGCCAATCAACACCCTTTCCCTCTTCAGTGTCACTATTGAAAAATGGCTGATGCTCTGAATACTTGTAATTTTTATGCCTAGTTACAATATTTTCTTCTGACCCGAACTATGGTCAAATGTGAGCTGGAGTCCTCTAAGTTATTGTCTTGACTTGGCAATGACCTTGGATTCTGCCCTTAAACCTTCTAACTCCAGTTTCAACAAGAATTCTGCAGAGTTAGTTAATAAAAATTCCCATGTCCTTTCTGTTGGATCACCTTCAGTCCTGAATTAAATTCTTTACCCTGGGCTGGGGATACAGCTCAATTAGGAGAGTGACTGCCCTGAGTTTGATTCCCAGCCCTGAATAAACCAGGTGTGGTGGCATACTTGTAATCTCAGCACTTGAGAAGTAGAAGCAGATGATCAAGGTCATCCTTAGCTTTATTGCAAGTTCAAGGCCAGCCTGGGATACCAGAAACTGTCTTAACATAATAACAACAACAACAAAATGGACTGGGGAGATAGCTCAGCAGTTAAGAGCCCTGGCTGCTCTTGCAGAGGACCATGGGTCAGTTCCCAGCACCTACATGATGGCTTACTACCATCCTTAACTCCAGTTCCAGGGGATCCAGCATCCTCTTCCGGCCTTTGTAGGCACTGCACAATACAGATGACAGATGCACTTATATACATGGGGACAAAACACTCAAATACATAAAATAAATATTCAAAATTTTTTTTGGCCAGGCATGGTGGTCGTGCCTCTGTCTTAGCACTCAGGACACGGAGGCAGGAGGATCTCTGTAAGATTGAGGCCAGCTTGATCTGTTGTGGCTACAGGGAGACCCTGTCTCAAAAACCCACCCAAAACAAAACTAAAATAACCCCACAAAAAAAAATACATGAAGAATGAAAATTTATGAAATAAATCACCCTCTCCCCCTTTTGTGCTTATGCAAAGAACTGCCCTTCCCCCTATAACTTAGATAAGACTCATGTATGTTCCCCTCTTTCACTGTGATAAGATAAGCCACAACCCACCCAAGTTGCCATTCTCTGTATAGAGGGCTATAGGCACAGAGGAGCACATGGCAATAGTAAGTGCCCACTGAACTGCCAAGTCGCCACTGCTGTGGAAAAGTCTCACCACTCACAAGCCAGAACCAGAAGTCTTCAATAAATGGAAAAAGAAGGGTCAACCACATCACCTGAGGGACTCTGGCCACTTGTCTTCTCCAATGCTGCTTAGCAGCTTCTGGAATAATCTAAAGAGTTCCACTTTACTGATTCTGGATCTGTTCAGAAAAAGAAGGTAAAGATCACCGACTGCTTACTATGTGTCAGGCCGATGTTCAAAGGCAACTGTGGAGGCCAAGCCTTTGCTCCTGGATGGAGATCAGTGTTGGAACACATAGGGGAGTGGTTGGTGATTTTTTTTTTTTTTTTAACACAGGGTCTCGCTATGTAGCACTGACTGGCCTAGAATTCACTATAGAGCCCAGGCTGGCCTTGAACTTACAGAAATCCATCTGCCTTTGCCTTCTGAATACTGTGATTAAAGGAGTATGTGATCATGTCCAGCCAGGAGGTTGATCTTTACAAACGTGCGTGGACCCTCTTGGTTTCTGCCCATGCATGCAGATATGGCCTGAGTATGTATGTTGCCTTTCTTTCCTTCGTACATAGACTCACGAGATGCATCTAAAAGTCAGTACATGCCTTGTGTGCCAACAAGGTAAGGTCTCACCTTTACACATTGAACTCTAGATCATCCTTGCAAATCATACTTCAGTTTAGACACTGGCCATACACAGATCCACCAGTTTAGACACTGGCCATCACAGAGATCCACCTGACTCAACCTCCTGAGTGCTGGGATTAAAGGCGTGTGCCACCATGCCTGGGCTACAAAGCTGCTTTAACAAGAAAAAAAAACTAAGGGAACTCCCCTTAACAGATTAAAAAGCAAACTGCCATGAGGAACATAGGTGCAGAAAAAGCATTTGGTAGAATTTCGCATCTCAGCTAGGTGTGCCTGTGATTCCAGCACTTGGAGGGTGAAGAATCAAGAGTTCAAGGCTAGTGTCAGCTACATAGCAAGTTTAAGGCCAGGCTGGGCTACCTGAAACCCTGTTTCAAAAAGAAATAAATGGTTCAGTGGGTAAAGGTGCTTTCTTGCAAGTCTGGCAACCTGAGTTCAATCTCCAGAAACCACATATAAATGGAAGGAGAGAACAGACTCCACAAAGATATCTCCGACCTCCATACATGCACCATGGGCACACATGCCCCCTCATCATACACACACATACAAAATAATAAGCCGGGTGTGGTAGCGCACACCTTTAATCCCAGAACTTGGGAAGCAAAAGCAGGTAGATCTCTTTGAGTTCAAGGCCAGCCTGGTCTACAGAGAGCTCCAGGCCAGCTGGTGCTACAGGGAGAAACTGCCTCAAAAACAAACAAATAATAATAATAAAAAATAATTCAAGCTGGGCGTACACACCTTTAATCCTAGCACTCGGAGGCAGAGGCAGGCGAATCTCTGTGAGTTCAAGGCCAGCCTGGTCTACATAGTGAGTTCCAGGACAGCTGGGGCTACAGGGAGACCCTGTCTCAAAAAGACCAAAAAAAAAAAAAAAAACATTATTTATACAAATGTTTAAAAACTTTTTGTAAAAAAAAACAAAAAAAAAAAAAAAAAATCATTATCTATCGAATGATTTAAAAGCTTTTAGTAAAATAGAATTAGTAAAGATATTACATGCATAAGAGTACCTATTAGATATCCAAAGCAAATATATGTTCTTAAAATGAGGAATAAATACAAGAGCACTTGCTAATTACTATTTTTATCCAACATTATATAGAAGGTTCTGGCTAGTAAGAAAAAAAGAAATAATAGGGATTGGGGCTGGGGTTGGGAGTGTAGCTCAGTGGTTGGCAAGGAGCATTTTGTGTTTCTTGGTCACTGCTGTGCACTCTCCAAGGGCCCAGTCCAGGGTGTGGTGAAAGTGGGGCGTTTTAAGTGGGAAATGACCTTCATGTTTCAATCAGAGGACTTAAACACAACTCCAGTAAGAGGATGTCTCATCACTTCTTCCCCAAACCATGGAGGAAGATGTGAAAACAGTAGACACCAAAAAAGCCAACCAGATCCTTGCCCATGAAAAAGAAAACACTTGGGCTGGAGAGATGGCTCAGCAGTTAAGAGCACACTGGCTGCACTTGCAGAGGACTCATGTTTGGTTTTCAGCACCTACACGGCGACAAACAACAATCTGTAACTCCAGTTTCCAGGGGATCCAACACCCTCTTCTGACCTCCATGGACACTGCATGACATGGGTGTACTTACATACATTAAGGCAAAACACACATACAAATAAAAATAATATTTTAAGAAAAAGAAAACCCTTGATCCCTCAGTCTCCTTGAGCAAAAGTGAAAAGTGGTTTTCTCCAATACTCATGTCCCTCTAGTGAGAAATTCAAGCCAGCAAGTAACAGTTGCACAGAAGACAAAATGTTCTTTCTTAAACACAAGTATAATCAAGTGGACAGAACCACAGAGAAAGGGAAATAGTAGGAACCACAGTAATTGAAATTATGCCTCCTCCTGTGAACCTGGAGCTGTGGTCTTCTCTCATGAGCTAGAGCTGTGGTTCCCTCCTGTGAGCCATTGTTCCATGCACCTCTGGTGGTAGGCTGATGGTGGAACAGAGTGGAGGATGGACTTCCTGATGTTGGACAGCAGTTTCAGCCTTCTCTGAGTGCCTGCATTCCCTGCAACCTGAGGTTCCAGGTTGTACATGACTTACTTTGCCTCTGTTGGGCTTATGATGGGGACAGGGGAGGTTTCCGTTATCTGCAGATTCTAGTCTTGGGAGGACTGATTCTCAAGAATAGACTTCCCACCTTCCTGATGGCAGCTATGGTCTTGACTCCACACGTGTTCCTGGGCACCCAGGCCTTGACATTGGACCTCTCCCATTCCCAGGCACCAAGGGGTTTTCTGTCACTTTTCTCTTACTCTTCTACAGCCCAGTGTACCTTCACCTGTGCCCTACAGAAAATGTAAGTCATCTAACTCAACTTCTAGAGATAAAAATTGCAGTCTGAGCCAGGTGTGGTGGCGCACGCCTGTAGTCCCAGCACTTGGGAGGCAGAGGCAGGCAGATCTCTGTGAGTTTAAGGCCAGCCTGGTCTACATAGTGAGTTCCAGGACAGCTGGGGCTACAGGAATACCCTGTCTCAAAAAAACCAAAAAAAAAAAAAAAAATCACAGTCTGAGTTTAAAAAAAAGAGAGCAGGACCGGCTCTTAACCATGGAGCCAAATATCCAGCCCCTAGATAATTTTAAATTTTACATACTTTGCTCATTCACAAATACTTAATGTTTTCCAGTCCCCTTCACAGAATCATACAAAAGTCTTCCTCCCCTAAAAACACTGCCTAGGTTTAACCTATTCAACCCTGTTTCCAACCTCGACAAGTAGTAATGTGTCAGTCTTCTGTATAATTCTCCCTTTTCTAGGATGCTGTACAACCAGAATCATATATACTGAAAAAAAATAAATAAAAAGAAAGTATAAAGCTTTATTGAGCGCTGGGACTGTAGTTCAGGGGCCCTGTATGTTTGAAGTATTAGCTTCAATTCCTAGGACTGCCAAGAAGAATTGGGATTGGAGAGATGGCTCAGTGGTAAAGAGCATGTACTGTTTTTTCAGAGGACCTGAGTCTGGCTCCCAGCAGCCACGTTTGGTGGCTCATGACTCCCGTTACCCTAGCTCCAGGGAATCCAACACTCTCTCCTGGCCTCTACAGGTGCCTGGATTCACATGTTAACCCCCCCATATACATATAATTAAAAATTAATCTTAGAAAACAAAACTAGCCAGGCATGGTGGTGCATGCCTTTAATCTCAGCACTCAGGAGGCAGAGGCAGGCAGATCTCTGTGAGTTCAAGGCCAGCCTGGTCTACATAACAAGTTTCAGGCCAGCTGGGGCTGCAGGGAGACCCTGTCTCTAAAACACAAAAAAACAAAACAAGCTAGAATTAAAATGTGGGGTGGGACTGGAGAGGAGGCCAAGAAGTTAAAGAGCATAAGAGCACTTGCTGTTCTTACAGAGGACCCAGGTTCAATTCCCAGCACCTACATGGCATCTCACAAATATCAGTAACTCCAGTCCCAGGGGATCCAACTCCCTCTGCAGGCACTGAATGCATGTGGTGCACCTATATACATGTATGTAATACATACACATAAAATGAAAATAAATAATAGCCGGGCATGGCTATTAGGCTATAGGTGGCTCCCCTAACAGAGGCGCTACTGACAGGAGATGGCTTCTGGGATTGGGAGAGTCAGTGTTCTTAAATCCCAGGACTTAGGAGGCAGAGGCAGGAAGATCTCTGTGAGATCAAGCCCAGTCTGGTCTACATAGCAAGTTCTGGGCCAGCTGGGGCTACAGGGCAGGGAGACAAAAAAAGAAAAAAAAAAAAAAGAAAAAAAAAAATCAAACCTCTAGTAAGGTCCTGTAGCTAAAGCTGCTACAATATAAGAACTGTTATTTTGAATACCAATCTCCTGGAATTGAAACTTGAACTACACAACTAAATAGTTGGTGTTTATATAACTGTGTTAGTCAAGCCAAAGTTTTAATTAATTGTTACTCAGAAAATTATTACTCAGGAACAAGGTCCTCTGTTAAACATTAGAGAAAGTATATCCAAAGACACCATCAAAGGCAACTGAAATGTTAAATCTTTTATATACCTATAGTTTTATTATAATATCATCTTATTATTTGACTATATGTATTGACTAATAAAATAATCTCAGTCAAGACTTAAAGTCTTAAAAACATTTCTGGGAGGCTGGAGAGATGGCTCAGTGGTTAAGAGCATTTGCTGCTTTTGCAGAGGACTCTAGTTCAGTTCCTAACACCTACGTGGCAGCTCACAACTGTCTTGTAAGTCTAGTTCCAAGGGCTCTGACACCCTCTTCTGGCCTTTGCAGGTACCAGGTATACATGTGGTACACATACTTACATGCAGGCAAACACTCATATTCATAAATTTAAAATAAATAAATCTTTAAGGGGCTGGAGAGATGGCTCACCAGTTAAAAACACTGGCTGCAGTGACCCGGATTCAATTCCCAGCACCTACATAGCAGCCAACAACTGTCCCTAATTCCAGTTCCAGGGGATCTGACAGCCTCTTCTGATCTCCATGGACATTGCATGGCATGGGTACACTTGCATACACACAGGCAATACACTCATACCCATAAAATAAAAATAATAAATGAAAGAGAAACAAGCTCAGAGAGGTTGGGTAATTAGCATAGGTTCACATAACTTGGAGAAAGGGAGCCAGGACCTAAACATTGGTTCTTTCAATCCCAAAGCTTCTGCTCCCTTGCATGAAGTTTGCCTTCCAAAATTAGGAGATAACCACAATGCGCCAGAGACCTCAGGTCATCCATCAAAACACCCTCATTTTAGAGATATGAATAAACAAAGGCCCAGAGAGTAAGCAGCTGGCCTTGCCCCAAGTCACCAAGATAATTTGGAGACAGAGCTAGGTTAGAATGTGAGGCACCCTCAGTCACACAGAGAACGCTGACATATTGGGACAAACGAGAACAGCACCACAGGAATCTGGAGAAAGATAATTTTGAGCCAGAAGATAATGGTGGTTGAGCTGAACTTTTTTTTGAGACAGGGTCTCCCTGTAGCCCCAGCTGTCCTGGAACTCACTATGTAGACCAGGCTGGCCTTGAACTCACAGAGCTCTGCCTGCCTCTGCCTCCCGAGTGCTGGGATCAAAGGCATGCGCCACCATGCCCGGCTAGACTTTTATTTTTTAAAAAATATTTTATTATTTTCATGTATATCTGTGTATTGCCTGCATGTGGGTAAGTGCATCTGTGTCATGCAATGCCCACAGAGGATAGAAGAGGCTGTCGGATCCCCTGGAACTGGAGTTATGGACAGTTGTTAGCTGTCATGTGGATGCTGGGATTCGAACTCAGATCTTCTGCAAGAACAGCAAGTGTTCTCAACTGCTGAGCCATCTCTCTAGCCCTGAGCTGGACTTTTAAAGCAAGAGGTTACAGACTCATAGCAAAGGGCTTGTTTTGTTTTGTTTCTATTCTGAGCAAAGCAGGAAACGGAAGCCAGAGTCAGCTGAGTGGGGCAGACCTGAGGAGCTTCAGTCTGTCACTAACAACAGAGCCAGAGCTTGGCAGGAAACCCACAGAAATAACCCTCATGACCTGCTCTGTGCACACATCCTGCTCTCTGGTTGCCTATTGGTCTCTGAAGGACAGAAGGTAGCTGGAAATGAAAAAGCAAAACCTCCCCAGAGAAAGCAATAGATTTTTGGAAAAATGCTGCTGGTACAATTGGATACCCACATGCCCTCTAAATTCCTATCTCTCTACTATAGATGAGTGTAGCTCTTGGACCTCGTCAGAGAAGTTTCTTTGGGCAGTGGATGGTGGTTAATGCAGAAAGTGACAACCAGTCAAAGTGTGGAGAATAAGTGTCAGTGGAGTGCTCACCACAAATGGGTCATCTGTAGCACACAACCCTCAAGACTCAGGGGCCACTGAGGAAGAAGGAACAGAAAGGCTGTAAGAGCCAGAGGTTGGGGAGGACTAGAGCAAAACGGTGTGTTCAGGACAGGACAGGACCACTGCACTTAAGAACTCACAGCCGGTGTGGTCGCCTGCACAAAACCTGCACAAGATCAAGCCAGTTAACATTCCAGCATGGGTGATCTGTGAGCCTCCACCCTAACTGAGGAGCTACTGACAGCAGACAGCTTCTGGGGGAGGAGAGTCATGGCCTCTGGTAGGTCACCACACTCCAGTAATGGCCCACATCCAGGAATATATGAGCAGCACAAATTGAACTTGATGGGTTATTAAGAAAAAAAAAGAGAGAACCCATTAAGTTGAGGGTGGGGCAGGGAAGTGGAGCTGGATCTGGGAGGAGTTAGGGAGATCTGGGGGTAAATATGATCGAAGTACATTGTATGAAATTCCCAAAGAAGTAATGTTTTTTTTTCAAAGGGGAATAGCTGAGTGTGGTAGTGTATACTTTAATCCCAGAGCTGCTGAGGGAAAGGCAGGCAGATCTCTGTGACTTTGAGATCAGTGTGGTCTCTAGAGTGAGTTCCAGACCAGCCAGGGATACATAGTGAGACCCTATCTCAAAAAAAAAAAAAAGAAAAATTAACTCAAAATGGATCAAAGTCTTAAACATAGTAACATGCTAGGGGAGAGCGAGAACTCAGTGGACAAAGTACCCGAGTTCAAATCCCTAGAACCCACGTAAGGCCAAGCATAGTAGCACATATCTGTAAACCCAAAGCTCCTACAGCGAGATGGCAACCAGACAGGAGAGTCCCCAGAAGCTCCCAGGCCAGTTAGCCTGGCGTGTGCACCAGCAAACAACAAAGGGACCCTGTGTCACATCAAGGTGAAGGGCCAGCGAGACATCTCAGTGCGTAAAGGTGCTTGCTACCAGGAATGACAACATGAGTTCAATTCCTGGGACTCACATGGTAGGAAGGAGAACCGACTCCTGCAGTAGTCCTCATTTGAATCATGGCATGTGTGTGTCCACACTTGTGCACATACACACATATAAATAAAAACAAGCAAACAAAAAACAAGGTGGAAAGGGAGGACTGATACCTGAGGTTGATCTCTGACACACATGCATGGCACTACACATGCGCTCGCGCACACACATACACACACACACACACTTTTTTTTTTGTCTTTTTGAGACAGGGTCTCCCTGTAGCCCCAGCTGGCTTGGAATTCACTTTGTAGACCAGGGTGGCCTCAAACTCACAGACACTTGACAAAGGATTAGTATCCAGACTACATAAAGTAGTCTTAAAACTCACTTTGACAAACCAGGGGCTCAGTGAGTAAGGGTGTTTGCTGCCAAGCCTTACAATGTGGGTTCAAATCCATGGAACCCACATGATGGAAGGAAAGAACTGACTTGCAAGTTGTTCTCTGATCTCTACAACTGCCTCCCCTCCCATAAGTAAATGTAGCAAACAATCAAAAAAGACAAACTGATTATGAAATGGGCAAGGTATGAGAGGAGATATTTTTCCAAAGAAGATACAAATGGCTAATAAGTATTTAACAAAATGCTTAACAACATCAGTCATTATGGAAATGCAAGGCAAAACCAGAATGAGGTGCCACATCATACCTAACAGAATGACTACAAAAGATAATGACATGTTGTAAAGGACACTGGCTAACTGGAATTCTTCCACAATGCTGAAGGAATGGAAAATGGTTCTGTAGTTCCTCAGATATAGCCAGGTGTGGTGGCACACACCTTTAATCCCAGCACTCAGGAGGCAGAAGCAGGAGGATCTCTGTGTGATGGAGGCTGGCCTGGTCTCCATAGTGAGTTCCAGGCCAACTGGGGCTATAGGAAGAAGCTGTCTTAAAAAAATAAAAAAGAAAAGAAAAAGTTAACCCTTTGGTTACCACATGATCTAGCAATTCCACTCCTAAGTATACTCCTAGGAGAAATGAAAGCTTGAATCCATATAAAAGCTTGTATGCAGCTGTTCACAGCAGCATTATTCCTATCAGCCAAAAAGGAAAACGTCTCAAAAGGCCATCAAGTGATCAATCGATAAGTCAAACGAGGCAGATCTATCCAGTAGGGTATTTTTAGCCACCAAATGAAGTACCAATACACAGCACATGAGTGAACCATGAAGACATGCAGACACAAAACTATGTATTAAATGATTTCATTTATAGGAAATGTCCAGAAGACACATTATGGAGTGAGAAAGCAGGTGAAGCAAATGGCTAGGGGGAAGGAACAGGCAGGAACTACTGATGGGCCGTTTTTGTTAGGGGGCAATGAAAGGTCCTGGAATTAGACAGGAAGGAGTGAGTTGACAACTCCCAGCTTCCCATGCCCACTTGCCGTACCTGGCCCGAAGGCTTCCAATGCCTTTCTTTGTTGTTCCCTGTGGAAAGCCGTTGGCAGTAACGTCCAAAGGCTGCTCAGGAACTGCACTCCAGCTGATAGCTATGGACAGAGAAGATTCTGGAGTTCAAACTGTTCATTTTTCTTTTCTTTCAGACAGGGTATCACTGTGTAACCCTGGCTGGCTTGGAACTCACTATGTAAACTGGGCTGGCCCTGAACTGACAGAGATCTGCCTGCCTCTGTCTCCGAAGTGCCAGGATTAAAACATGCACCACCAAACCTGGCCCAGAATATTTTCATAAAAATATTTCTCTGAATCTACAGACCCATGAAATTGGATATGAACATCAAACAAAATGAATCCACTTTGACACTTGGCCCCCAGGATACAATGGTATCAAATAGTTCATAACTATCAGTATTATAATAGCTTACAATTTAATTTAAAAATATTAGTTTACTTATTTACTGTGTATGCTGGTGGTGGTGGGGGCCTATGCTAGCCAAAATGTGTTTGAGGACAGTTGCAGTTTGGTTCTCACCTACCATGTGGGTACCAGGGACTGAGCTCAGATTGTCAGTTTTGGCAGCAAGCACCTTTATCTGCTCTGAGCCATCTTGCTGGCTCCCAACTTACAATTTCATTGAGATTTTACTATATGTTAGACACAGAATAAATACATTGAATATAATTTCTCACTTAACTCATAACCATGACAAAGAATATTCTTCTCCTAATCTGAAGATAAAGAAACTGAGGCCAAGAGAGATTAAATAATTGGTCTAGGATCAAACAGAACATAAACTTAACCTGAAATGGGTGTTTTCTAAAGCACATACTGGAGTGGTAATCTGTCTTCCTAGGCTGGGACAATGCAGACAGACCCTCCCAGGATGGGCTGTCAGAGAAGCTACCCCAGGGAAGTCTATCTGGATCTCTTACCTGCCCCACAAGGAACAAGTCGGCCTGGACCGTTAGCCCTTTTTGCTTGTACTGCACAGCGGCTCTGTTCAAATAATAAATCTGACTTCTGAATTTTCAGTTTGTGAATTCCAAAACCTTTAGGTAATGCCAAGATGTCCTGACACCTAAATGTGAAGGAAAATCCATTCAGTTTAGGTGTACTCCTAGAGAAAAAGACTCAGATTATGGTTCATCATCCCTGAGCCATTAGGAGGAAGCAAAGGCCTTAGTAGCTGAGTGAATCTACTTATTTATTGAGGTAGGGCAAGTGAATGTGAATTTTTTGGTGAGCACTCTACCAAATGAGCTACATCTCCTAGTTCAAGTGAATTTTCTTTTTTTCCTCTTTTTGGAGACAGCGTTGATCTGTTGCCCCAGCTGATCTGGAACTCACTATGTACACCAGGATCGTCTTGAACTCACAGAGATCCACCTGTCTCTGCCTCTGGAGTGCTGGGATTAAAGTGTACGCCACTATGCCTGGCCAGAACTTTGTTTTGTCTTTTTGAGACAGGGTCTCCCTATAGCCCCAGCTGGCCTGGAACTCATTATGTAGACCAGGCTGGCCTTGAACTCACAGAGATCCACCTGTCTCTACCTCCCGAGTGCTGGGATTAAAGGCATGCGCCACCACACCTGGCAATTTTTTTTTTTTTTTGAGACAGAATCTTATGCAGAGTTAGACTGGCCCTGAACTTGAAATGTTACAATGACCCTGGACTTCTGATCCTCTTGCCACCCCATCCTGAGTGCTGGACCACAAGCCATGTTCAATTTTATGTGGTGCTAGGGATCAAACCCAAGGCCTTGTGACTGCTAGGTGAGCACTCTACCAAATGAGCTACATCTCCTAGTTCAAGTAAGAATTTATGGCTGGGGAAGGGTCCTCCCTATTGCTCTGAAGGCATAATTAAGGATTGAGTTAATGTCTCTCAGTGGGTTTCAGAATTATAAAACTTCATTCTTTATTTGAGAAACTTGAATTTTAACTTATTTGAACAGGCATCCTAGGAAATCCTTCAAATACACCAGAAACTAAAATTGTCCCATAATATAAAAGCCGCCCCCTTATACAAACTAGGTGTCAATGTGTTACTAAAATATGATGCAGATAGCAACTTCAAATCCCAGAAACCTCATACCCATTAGCAGTCACTTTGCATCCCTCTCCTGCCTCTGATAACCATCAACCTACTCTCCTTCTCTATGTAGACTTGCCTCTTCTGGATAGTTCACATAGATGGATCATAAAATACTTGGTTTATTTCATTTAGCATGCTGTTTCCATGACTCATTCATGCTGTAACATGTATCAGTACTTGAGTCTTTTTTTTTTTTTGGTCTTTTTGAGACAGGGTCTCCCTGTAGCCCCAGCTGGCCTGGAACTTGCTTTGTAGACCAGGCTGGCCTTGAACTCACAGAACCCCCCCCTCCCCCCTCCCCTGCCTCCTGAGTGCTGGGATTAAAGGCGTGCACCACCACACCCGGCTTAGTACTTGAGTCTTTAAAAATTATTATTACATTTATTTATTTCTGTGGGGTGACACGGGGGTCCGTGTGTCATAACACGCATGTGGAGGTCACAGGATACCTTGCAGTAGTTTTCTCTTTCCACCACATGGCTCTAGTGATCAAACCCATGTGGTCAGGCTAAGTGGCAAGTGCCTTCACCTGCTGAGCCATCTCCACCTGCTAAGCCATCTCCTCCATTACTTGCACCCATTTTTGAGACAGGGTCTCATGTAGCTCAGGCTAGTCTCTAACTTGCTATATAGCCGTGGCTGACCTTGCGCTGATATTCCTGCCTCAGCCTTCCAACTGTTGGGGGGTCACATGCCTAGTGCCACCATGTTGGCACTCCACTCCTTTTTAATGCTGAGCAGTATTTGCTCCTACGGGCACACCACACTTACTGACCTAACAGAGGGGCATTTCAGCTGCTTCACTTTTTGGCTATTACAAATATGCTGCTATAAACATCTGTGTATAAGTTTTTTTAGGATGTATGTTTTCATTTCTCGAAGTGAAACTGCTGGGTTATATCCTGGGCTGTGTTTGGTGTCGGCTTTAAGAGTCTGACATGGTCCCATGATGCTTCCCCCAGTCCTTACTGACTACAGCATCAATCAGGTTAGGGGCTTCCTGAGAGAACAACTTGAATGGTCATAGGTAGTCCTCTTTATTTCTCTCTCTCTCTCTCTCTCTCTCTCTCTCTCTCTCTCTCTCTTGTTTTTGGCTTTTTGAGACTGGGTCTTGCTGTTTTTTTTTTAAAGCTTTATCCTTACTGACTACAGCATCAATCAGGTTTGGGGCTTTCTGAGAGAACAACTTGAATGGTCATAGGTAGTCCTCTTTATTTCTCTCTCTCTCTCTCTCTCTCTCTCTCTCTCTCTCTCTCTCGTTTTTGGCTTTTTGAGACTGGGTCTTGCTGGTTTTTTTTTTAAAGCTTTATCCTTACTGACTACAGCATCAATCAGGTTTGGGGCTTTCTGAGAGAACAACTTGAGTGGTCATAGGTAGTCCTCTTTATTTCTCTCTTTTTCTTTCTTTTTTTGGCTTTTTGAGACTGGGTCTTGCTGGTTTTTTTTTTAAGCTTTATTTTATGTGTATGACTGTTATATCTGAATGCATGTAAGTGCACCTCTGTTGTGCAGGGCCTGCAGAGGACAGAAGAGGGCATTGGATCCCCTAGAACTGGAGTTACAGACAGTTGTTAGCTGCCATGTGGATGTTGGAATCAAACCTGGTCTCTTCCAAGAACAGCCAGTGCTCTTAACTGCTGAGCCATCTCTTCAGCGCCTGTTTTGTTAAGATATTGAATTTCGGGCTGGAGACATGGCTCAGCAGTTAAGAACACTGGTTGTTCTTGCAGAAGACCAGGTTTGAATCCCAGCAACGACATGGCAGATAACAACTGTCCATAACTCCATTACTCCAGTTCCAGGGGATCCGACAGCCTCTTCTGTCCTCCACAGGCATTAGACTTGGGTGCACTTACCTACATGCAGGCAATACACACATACACATTAAAAAAAAAAAGATATTGAATCTTGGGGCTAGAGATGGCTAAGGGGATTAGAGCACTTCCTGCTCTTCCAGAGGACCCAAATTTGATTCCCAGCACCCACATCAAGTGGCCCACAGCAACCTGTAACAGATCCATGGGATCTGACTCTATCATTTGACCTCCACAGGCACCCACACACATGACATCCATACACACACACACACACACACACACACACACACATACACATAAGCTAAAAAAACAAAGAAAAGCTTTAGAGGGGGCTGGAGAGATGACTCAGCGGTTAAGAGCACTGACTGCTCTTGCAGAGGACCCAGGTATGATTCCCAGCACCCACATGGTGGCTATGAACCATCCTTAACTCAAGTTCTAGCGGAATCCAAAGTCCTCTTCTGACCTCTGCAGCAATGCATGACACAGGCGCACTCACATACATGCAGGTAATACACTCATACACATAAAATAAAAATAATAAAATATAAAAAAAAGGAAAGAAAAGCTTTAGAGTCTTTCTACATAGCTCTGACTGGCCTTGACTCATGATCCCTTTATATCAGCCTCCTGAGTACTAGGATTAAAATTAATATTTAAAGCTTTTTTATATAATGGCAATTATATTGGCTTTTATATTTTTTTGGTTGTTGTTTGCTTGTCTGCCTGCTGTTTTTCTTTTTGAGACTGGGTCTCACATAGCCCACACTGGTCTGGAACTCCCTATGTTGCTGAATAACCTTGAACTTTTGGTCTTCTTGCTTGCCTCTCCCAAAGGCTGGGATTACAAATGCTGTCCCTTGGGTCCAGGTTGTGGAGACACGTAAAGTGAAGGTATTAAGAGTCAGTTTGGCTGAATGTGCTACCAAGTTTTACACAAAGGTAAACCCTCTATCCTGAAAAGTCCAAGGACTCCTATGGTTAGCAGTGGACATGTACCTTACTATTTAAAAGGCAGCCAGATGTAAGCTTAGAATAGAATATTATACATAAGACTGTCTTCCCATCATAAGAATTAAAATAGGGGCTGGAAGGATGGCTCAGGAGCACTGACTGCTCTTGCAGAGGACCTGGGTTCGATTCCTAGCACTCACACCGTGGCTACGAACTGTCAACTCCAGTTCCAGGGGAATCCGAAGCCCTTTTCTGATCTCTGAGGCACTGCATGACACGGGTGCACTCACATACATGCAGGCAGTACACTCATACACATAAAATAAAAATAATAAATAAAATATAAAGAGGTATCTTTAAAAAAAAGAATTAAGCTGGGTGTGGTGGCACACACCTTTAATCCCAGCACTTGGAAGGCAGAGGCAGGTGGATCTTTGTGAGTTCGAAGCCAGCCTGGTCTACATAGTGAGTTCCAGGACAGCTGGGGCTACAGGGAGACCCTGTCTCAAAAAGACAAAAAAAAAAAAGAATTAAAAAATAAGTTTCTACGCACAAATGCATGCCATCATGTCTAGCTGAATACAGTGCTGGGGCGCCAACCAGGGCTTCATGCATATTAGGCAAGCACTCTACCAACTGGGCTAAATCTCCAGCCCTGGCAACTATTTTGTTCATTGTAGAAGGATGATGAAATCCAGCAATAACAAAGGAGAAAAAACAACCTATAACACCATGACTCAGAGATAATCATTAATATCTTGGTATACAGCCGCCTACAGTTTTCTATGTACATACGTACTTTAAGACTAAAGTGGAGCTCACTTTATCTTCTAAATTGCTCTGTAAATATTATGAACTTCCTTCTGCATTAAATATTCATTACTTTTTTTTTTTTTGTCTTTTTGAGACAGGGTCTCCCTGTAGCCCCAGCTGTCCTGGAACTTACTATGTAGACTAGGCTGACCTTGAACTCACAAAGATCCGCCTGCCTCTGCCTCCTGAGTGCTGGTATTAAAGGCGTGCACCACCACGACTGGCATATTTTTAACAAGAGAAATCACTTAATTTCCCACTGCTGAGTATTTCTGGTTTCCTTTTTTCAAGTTACTATATAAAAGCCTAAATATTTATACTTTAGTTTAAAAAAATCTTTTTATTTTATGTCTGAGTGTATTGCCTGCATGTATGTAAGTGCCTCTGTGTCCTGCAATGCCCATGGAGGTCAGAAGAGGGCATCAGATTCCCCTGGAACTGGAGTTACAGATGACTGTTAGTTGCACTGTGGGTGCTGGGAATCAAACCCAGGTCCTCTGCAAGGGCAACCAGTGCTCTTAACCACAGAGCCATCTCTCAAACCCCCTTTAATAATTTTTTTAAAGGATTTTTAAAATTAATTTTTATTTATGTGTATTTGTGTCTGAGTATATGCCACACGTGTAAGTATCCAAAGAAACCAGAAGTGGGTGTCAGATCCCCTGGGGCTGGAGTTATTAGCAGTTGTGAGCCACCTGATGTGGGTGCTGGAAACTGAACTCAGGTCCTCTGGAAGAGCAGCAAGTGCTCTTAACTGGTAAACCATCTCTCCAGCCCCTACTTATTTCTTTAAAATAAATTCCTAGATGTGTAACTGCTGAGTCAAAAGGTAAGGAGACCTTTTGGGCTCTTTGGGCTCCTCTTACGGCTCTCCCTCCCTGCCCCTCACCTGCCAGTCAGTGCTCTCTGCATGGCCTCCTGGCTGTAAGGGCACTTCCCAATGATCACAGCTGACAGGTAGATGGGCTCTTCCAGGAAGTGCATCAACAGCGCGCCCTGGCATCCAAGGACATTCCATCGTGCCATCTTGTCACTGCAGGACATGGAGCAAGTCCTGTCTCCCCGACCTGGCTTCACTCGAAGCAGCCCTACCTGGTGGTAGGCAGCACCTGGTTTCCTAGAGTCAACAGTTTCTCCAGGAACACATTTGGCTCCGGTTCTATAAATGTCCATCACTTTGACACCACAGGGGGCTATTCCATCAGCAGTGACTGGTTCCTCCACAGTGAGATTAGAGCTGCTGACCTCTAGAGTGACTGGACCACTTTCCTGCTTACTATGGGGAGCTGTACCACTGGAGACCAAGCTGGTAGGAGTTCCAAGCCTCATCTTTTTGGCTACAGGGCTGTCAGGGTCTTCACAATTCCTTTTACTTTCAGGAGCCTCTCCATTATCACTCCCTCCTACAGGTGAGCTGTGGGCCCAGTCTCCGCTGACAGGATAGCAAGGCTGTTCTTCAAACTCAAGCATTGGAATGATGGAGGCATCCCCACCTGCATGAGAAGGAACTCCTTAATTCCTAGTTCTCAGAATGAGTCCTTCCAAACAGTGACATGGATGTCCCTTAGGAGCTAGTTAAAAATGAAAATTGTGTGGCTGGGGAGAATGAGCTGCAGTGATGCTTAGCATGCAGGAGGTCCTAAGTTCATATATTTTCTCTCTCGCTCTCTCCATATATATATATATACACATATATATGGGGCCAGTGGTCTGTTTAAACAAGTTGCCAGGTGATTCTGATGCAAGCTTAAGTTAGGGAATCGTTGCTTAAATCAAGATCAATCTGTTTTCCCAGATGACCTGACCTGAGATGAATTGAGTGTGGGCTGAGAAGTTCAGCGGTAGAGCACATGCCTAATATACATAAGGCCCTGGGCTTGATTACCATCACCATAAAGGAGAAAAGAAAACAAACAAAAAACAGCCCCGCCCCAAACCAACAACTTGATTTTTTAAAATCTTTGTGTGGTCTATACGGTGTGTGTCTGTGTGCAGGTGTGTGCATGCCATGGTGCACATGTGGAGGTAAGAGGGCAACTTTGGGTGTTGGTCCTCACCTTCCACTTGTTTGAGACAAGGTCTCTGTGGCTTGCTGCCCTCCAGCTTCCAGGGATTCCCATCTCTGCCTCTAATCTTGGCATAGGAGTACTGGGAGTACAGGCATGTGCTACTGCATCTGGCTTAACATGGGTTCTGGGGATTCAAACCCAGACTGCCTTCTATCTTCAATAATAAATTAACCTTATCTATAAAAATGAATAAAACAATAGACAACAAAAATGATACATGTCCCTGATGAGAATCTGAAGTCTTGCTAAAGGCTCTCTCCTAGACCCAGTGAGGTGAAACCTCTACAGAGAGATAGGAAAAACTGAATATTTAAACAAAGGTCTCAGTAATTCCTATCACAAGGAAATTTTGGAAACAGTGGTTTAGACCAGGGTTTTTTGACCTCCACTTTGCAATTTTGTTTTGTTTGGGGTTTTTTGAGACAGGGTCTTAGCTGGCCTGGAACTCACTATGCAGACCAGGCTGGCCTCGAACTCAAGAGAGCTCCACCTGACTCTGCTTCCCAGGCTGGGATTACAGTCAAGCACCACCACGCTGTCTATGTTCTTTTTTGAGATGGGGCCTCATGTAGGCAAGGCTGGCCTCAAACTGCCTATACAGATGACTATCCCAGGGAGCAGAACTGTCCTGAGCTGAAAACTACATGGTCTTGTGCATACTAGGCAAGCATTCTAGCACTGAAATACAACCCCAGCCTGAGAACTACTGGTTTACAGTGAACAAAGTTTCCCAAGTGTATTTTGTGGATTGGCATCCTGTGAGGTGCCTTGGAAAACAGAAAGTGTCTTATGGTTAAGTAAAGTTGACACTGTTGGGGCTGGAGAGATGGCTCAGCAGTTAAGAGCACTGACTGCTCTTGCAGAGGACCAGGGTTCGATTCCCAGCACCCATATGGCAGCTATGAACTGTCCTTAACTCCAGTTCCAGGGAAATCCGAAGCCTTCTTCTGACCTCCTCAGCACTGCGCGACACAGATGCACTCACATACATGCAGGCAATATACTCATACACATAAAATTAAAATAATAAATAAAATATTAAAAAAAGTTGACACTATTGAAAATGTCCCCATCTTGAGTATTTTATGGTGTATTAAATCCCCTTAGTAAAGACTCTAGTAAATTACACAACCTGGGGGCTGGAGAGATGGCTCAGCAGTAAAGAGCACTGGCTGTTCTTGCAGATGAACAGGGTTTGAATCCTTGCACCCACATGGTGGTTAACAACTGTTCATAACTTCAGTTCAAGGGGATCCAATGCCCTGACCTCTGAGGGCATTGCATGACAAGGGTGTACCTACATACATGCAGGCAATGCATTCATACACATAAAATAAAAATAACAAAATAGTTTTTAAAAGTTACACAACCTGGTCCACACCAGTGTTTCCCAAACTTCCAGTGTCTCCCTGAGCTGGTTTAGAGATTTCTAATCTATTCCATGCTCACAGAGAACCAAAGAAAACCTGAGGTCAGGGGAAAACACAGCTCTCCCTTGAGAAGGGAGCTATTGCTTCAAACACCAACCTAATGTGTGTTGCTTTCTTAAAGTGTGTAAATAATACATCTGTGGTCTTTCTAACCAGAGAGTGGGAAAGGCAAGAGAGACACAGGAGGAATGTTGTGGGAGAGGCTGCCTGGCTGACTTCCAGAGATCTCACAAGGTGACGGTGACTGGGGAATTCATTGGGGTCCATTTCCCACTCTGTAAGCTGAAATCTGATCTTGATAGAATGCCTGAACATGAAAGACTGACTCATGCTAATAAAACACAAAAGTAAGAAAGAGTCAAGGCATCAAATTATTAATCAGTTATGAGTAGTAAATGCCAAGGGAGCCAGAGAGCAACATTTTCTATGTAGTGTGCTTCCCTCCTACAGATAAACCACGGGAGACATCCCATTTTAAAAGATTACTCATGAACTGCAGGAGTTAGATCACTTGTTCCAGATTTTTATCTCATAGACTAGCAAATTAATTTTTAGAGTTTTTGTCTTTTTTGGGGCGGTGTGGTGTGGTTGAGACAGGGTTTAACTATGTAGCCCTGGCTGGCCTGAACTCACAGAGATCTACCTGCCTCTGCCTCCCAGGTGCTAGGATTAAAGGCATGCACCATGATGTGCAGTAATTTTCAGAATTTTTGAGATCAACAGAGGGCTGAGGTTAAAGTCTTAAAACCCCAAGCTGCCACCATTAACATAAGGAAGAGAGCCTGTGCCTACTCCACAGCACTGATTCTCCCACATCTCAGCAGTCACCAATTCCTCCATGGCCTCGGAGTCTTGGAAGTCACCGTTGCCTCCTCCCCATTTCTCACACACTCTCATGAAACCCTACCAACTCTCCTCCTAAATCTCTCTTAAATCTATCCAATTATCTCCCCTTCATTAACTACTTCTATCCTCCCTGAAATCATCACAATCTCTGGGCTGGAAAGAGGGCTCAGGGGTTAAGAACACTGGCTGCTCTTGCAGAGGACCTGAACCCTAGCACCCACATGGTAGGTAACAACTATCCATCCATGACTCCAGTTCCAGGGGATCTGACACCCTCTTCTGGCCTCCATTGGGCACTGCATGACATGGGTGCATTTACATATGTGGAGGCAAAACACCCATGCAAAAAACAAAAGTTAAAAAGATTAAAAACAGAGCCAGGCGTGGTGGCGTACGCCTTTAATTCTAGCACTTGGGAGGCAGAGGCAGATAGATCTATGTGAGTTCAAGGCCAGATTGGTCTTTATTTTGATATATCACAGTGAAAGATTTATCGTCCTCTTTTTTTTTTTTTTTTTTTTTTTTTTTTTAAAAAAAAAAAAAAAAAAAAAAAAAAAAAAAAAAAACCCAAAAACCCACCATCATAATCTCACTTCAAAAAAAGGAAGAAGACTTATCACCTCTAAGTTTTTGAATATGTTGCTATGGTCTTGATTTTTCTGGCTTTGCTTGGGTGCTCACAGATCAGCATATTCGTGGACCATTGGTCTGGGTAGTCTGATTAAGCTAGGAAACTTTAGATTCATCTGTCTCCAGCACAGTAAGTGACCACGGGGCATACCCAAGTTATGTCTACTCAAAGTTTGGTTAGTCCATTAGCATAGCACCCCTGGGAGTTGGTTAGAAATGTAGAATCTTGCAGGGAGTGGTGGTGTGCACCTTTAGTTCCAGCACAGGGATGAAAGCCCCAGCATGGGAGGCAGGGTAGGAGGATCTCTGTGAACTTGAGGCCAGCCTGGTCTACACAGTGAGACTGTCTAGAAAGAAAGGAGGGTTGGTGGGAGGAAGGGAGAATGGAGATGTAGAATCTCAGCCCAACTCTGGACTTAGTGAACCTGGATCTGCATTTAATAAGATCCACTAGTGACTCATGCATGTCACAGTCCGATAAGCACTGACGAGGAAACATCCTTTGACCAGGCACCCAATGCCATGAATACAGCAGAGATGAGTCCTGTCTACCTCTGCTTTTTTTCTGGCCTTCAGTACTTAACAACTCATTTCCTAAACTCATTCTTTCGTAAGCAACGACTATTATAATGAAATCTTCACATCTCCCCCATTCTATGGTAGTTCCCTTTTCTGTTTGTTACACTACAGTTCAATACTCAGAGAACAATCTTATCAAAGTTTCCAGGGCAAGGAAACTGTACTGCCATCACTGAGTTGTGGTCTATAAAAGGTGGGAATTATTTTCTTTTCGGGTTATTTTTCAAATTTGGTTTTTTGAGATAGGTCTCATGTAGCCCAGGCTAGCCTTGAATTTGAACTTGCTATGTAGCCAGGGATAGTTTTGAACTTCTGATCTTTCTACTTCTGCCTCTTGAGTGCTTGGGATTATAGGTGTTGCACTACTATGCCCAGCCTAAATAAAAAGATTTTTTTAGACAGTTCTTACTATATGGCCCAGGCTGATTTCAAACTGGTGAGCCTCCTGCCTCTGCCTCCTAAGTGTTAGATTATAAACATGTTACCATGTCAGGCTTATTTTCAGTTTTTTTTTTTTTTTTTTTAAACAGGGTCTCCCTGTAGCCCCAGCTAGGCTGGAACTCACTATGTAGGCTAGGCTGGCCTCAATCTCATAGATCTGCCTGCCTCTGCCTCCTAAGTGCTGGGATTAAAGGTGTGTGCCACTGTACCTGGCTATTTTCAGGGTTTTCTTTTAAGTTTATTTTTTAACTTTATTATCTGGAGTGGGCATGTATGCCATAGTGTGTAGCGTTTGGGGGACAGAAGATAACTGTTGAATTAGTTCTGTCTACCTTTCCATGGGTACTTGGACTCAAGCGCCTCTACCCACTGAGCATCCTGCCAGTCCTTATTTTCATATTTTGAGAAGGAAAACTATAGAGGCTATCCCCTAAGTTGTCTAGGTTAGACTTCATGTTTTATGGAACCACAGCCTCCAGAACATTCCCCGAGACCTCACCATGGCAGGTAAGTACGTTACCATAAAGTTTATCCTCAACTTCTTATTTACTGCTTTACATTCAGCATGTCATATGATTAGGAGATATCTTTTCAGGCATGATGGCACACTCCTGTAACCTCAGGAGTTCAAGGCTAGGTGGACTATACAGCAGGGCTCACAAACACCTCCTTGTGTGGCACATGCCTATAATCTAAGCACTTAGGTCACTGTAGATGGAGGTTTGTGGAAAATCTGAAGCCAGCCTGGGTACATAGTGTTGTGTAGTAATTTTCCCACAGATAGATCTTCATCTTGGAGGGAAGCTTGGTAAACAACAGGATGTTCTAAAAGGAAGTAAACAACTCAAAAGCTTCAGGAAGTCCCTGAAACTAACCAATAAGCTCTAAGGACTGCTGAGAGACACTCTGAGACAAGCTGAGCTGTCTGGAAGAGGCAGAGACCTGACAAGCTGCCTGGAAGAGGTTCAGACCAGCTGGCTGCCCAGAAAGGATACTCTCCAACCTGTTGAGAGTTCCCTGACTTCCCTACAGACTGGGTAGTGTGTTCTACTTTTCCTGCTTTTATAAGCTGTCACCCATATTGGGTGAGCTTGGAGACGCAGCTGTCTTTGAGTCATTCCTGCTTGTTAAGTAACCCCTTACCCACATACCTTTAAGTAACACCAATAAAATTCATTGGTTCACCAAGTTGGATTTTGATGGTATTATTACTTTAGTCTGTCACTGGTTTTTTATCTGGGGTGAGTAGACGTTTGTTCACGTCTCCGCAGGAACAGTGCCACACAACGTATACTGACGTCTCCCCAGGAACAGTGCCGTACAACGTATACTGAGCTCAAGGCAAGCCATGGTAACTGAGCAAGAATCCCTGGAACCCACAGAGTAGGACAGAACTGACTTCCCTAAACTGTCCTCTGACCACCTCCCCCCCCAAAAAAAAACATACGCACAGTAAATGCATAAATTGAAAAAAAAAAAAAAACAAAACAACCTGTTGCCGGGCATGGTGGTGCATGCTTTTAATTCCAGCACTTGGGAGGCAGAGGCAGGCGGATCTTTGTCAGTTCGAGGCCAGCCTGGTCTACATAATGAGTTCCAGGACAGCTGGAGGTACAGGGAGACCCTGTCTCAAAAAGACAAAACAAACAAACAAACAAAAAAACCTGTCTCAAAAAAGGAAGAAGACATATTTTAGAATGAATGAAAGAATGGAGTTTTAGGACAAGTTACTATAGTAAGACTTTGCACTTTGTTTTTTGAGACACTATCTCCCTGTAACTCCCTAGAACTTGCTATGTAGACCAGGCTGGCCTCTGTGTTGCAGACATCTGCCTACCTCTGCCTCCTGAGTACTAGGACTAAAGGTATGCCCCACCAAGTCCGCAAAGACTTTGGACTTTTAAGCCCCATTGATTGTTTTATAACTGGTAGAGTTTTAAGTATGAAGTTTCCTCATCTTGACTTTGGGAGCTAACAGTTCTCCACCTCCCTCCCTTGGCCTTGTGCTAGAGATGTGATTAAGTATATAAACAGACACTACCATTAGATATAGCTATAGTCAGCCAGCCAGGATCACTTTTTTTAAAAAGACTATTTTTTACTTTATGTGTATGAGTGTATTGCCTGCATGTATGGAAGTACACCCGTTTTGCAGAGTGCCCTCGGAGGTCAGAAGAGGGCATGGGATCCCTGGAACTGAAGTTATGGACAGTTCTTAGCTGCCATGTAGGGTGCTGGGAACCAAACCTAGGTTCTTTTTAAGAGCAGCCAGTGCTCCTAACCACTAAACCATCTCTCCAGCCCCCAGAAATACTTTTTTTGAGAAATATCTCTGGTAAGACAAGCATGAGGAAGCCATCAATGCAGCATTTCTCCAAAGACTTGACTATACTTACAGGGTGTGTGGCTAGAGAAAAACACAAAAGATAGGCTGGGTCTGAGCTTCCACAGTCCTCTATGAGTTCCTGGGACAAAGATACTATCCTCTTTCAGGACGGCGGCCAAATGGAGCTGATGGAGAAGATATCTGAGGGTTGCAAGATATCAGAATGAACAACCAGGCTGAGGATGCAGCTCAGGGAACCCTAGATACTGAGGGCCTAGCATGTGCAAGACCTTTGGTAGCACTAAAATAATTAAGAGAAAACAAATTTACCACAAATTTCTGTGGTAAAAAGAGCTTGGTTGGGTGATTACTAAGAGAGGGTTACATAGGCCAATGAGGCTAGTGATGATCTAGAATTATGATAGAAACACATGATCCTTAAAGTGTAGTCCCATGGCAGCAACAGTAGCATCACCTGTGTATTCATTAGAAAGGTAAATTCTCAGACTCTACTCTGGATTTGCTCAGTCAGAATTTCTAGGGGTGGGGCCAGCAATCTTCCCCCAAACTCCCATTCCCGTGCTGAGGCTTGAAACCAGAGCCCTGGATATGCTAGACAAGAGCTCAGCTACTAAGTTTATACCTCAGCCCCAACAGGAGTGATCTCAAAAGCAGGTGATTCTATGGCAAACTCAATTTTGAGAACCACTAATCTGGACCACTAATCGTACACAGAGTGGCATAATTTGCATTACCTGAGATCTTATTAGAAATACAAATTCTGCCCACTTCTCTCCCCCAGACCTGCTGAATCCAGACTCTCTGGGGATGTGATTTTACCTCTGGAAACTCCTTCTGGCAATGACCTCAGCATGGCTGTCATTGAGGATGTCTCCTACGGCAAAGACAAGACACTAGGTAAAGGAACCTGGAGAGGCCCTGGATCCTAGAAGCACACTAGAGCAGTCTCCCTACCCCAGCACTCAGGATGGTCATGTTATTTCCTAGAGGGCTTTGTGGGAAAGTATCAGTCACTAATGGTAAATGCATTTGTGGCTGGTAGACATCTGGAGCTAGAATTCTTTGCTATGGGGGAAGCCCATGACACACAGGATGTGTAGCAACACTCTTGGCCTTCACCCACAAGATGCCCTGAGTATCCCTCCCCAAGGTGACAACCCAAAACACCTCTGGACACTGCCAAAGGTACTCTGGGATACAAAACTGCCCTTGGTTTCTGGGTGTGGTGGTGCATGCCTGTAATCCCAGGCTTAGCAAGAGTACCATGAGTCTGAAGCCAGTCTGAGCAACACAGCAAGTTCTTGACCCAGGGCCACATAGAGAGATCCTGTCTCAAAAAAACTAAACAAATAAAAAACCAAAAGAGCTAAGCTAAGCAAAACAAAAACTATCTCTAGTTCAGAAACACTGATTTATAGAAAAACGTGTATGTGTAAAGTACTGGGGATTGAACCTAGGGCCTCATACATGGTAGGAAAGTGCTCTGCCACTGAGCTATACCCCCAGATCCTTTTTTTCTATTCTTTATTTTTTATTTTATTTTTTTGGTCTTTTTAAGACAGGGTCTCCCTGTAGCCCCAGCTGTCCTGGAACTCACTATGTAGACCAGGCTGGCCTTGAACTCACAAGAGATCTGCCTGTCTCTGCCTCACGAGTGTTGGGATTAAAGGCATGCACCACCATGCCTGGCCCCTATACCTTATTTTTTAAAAAAGATTTAAAAATAACGTGTATATATGTATGTCTCCGCACATGAGTGCAGGTGCCTGCAGAGGCCAGAATTCGATGTCAGATCCCCTAGAGCTGGAATCACAGGTGGTTATGAGCCACCTGATTTGGGAACTGAAATTGGGCCCTCTGTAAGAGCAGTATGTGCTCGTAACCACTGAGCTGTCTCTCCAGCTCCTATTTTTTTATTAATGTAATTTTTTAATGTTTTTATTTTGTGTGCATATGCACCCAGGCCATGATGCACTTGTGGAGGTCAGAGGACAACTTGCGAGAGCTGGTGTTCTCATTCTACCTTGTGGGTCCTGGGAACTGAACTCAGCTCATCAGGTTGGGTACAGGTGCCAGTACCCACGGAGGCATCTGGCCCATCTATCTAACTCTTTTTGTTTTTGGTCTTTTTGAGACAGGGTCTCCCTATAGCCTCAGCTAGCTGGGAACTCAATATGTAGACCAGGCTGGCCTTGAACTCACAGAGATCTTCCTGCCTCTGCCTCCCCAGTCTATCTACTCTTTTTTTTTGACACAAGGTTTCACTAAGTTACTCAGGCTGGTCTTGAACTTTCTCTATAGCCCAAGCAGGCCTATTGCTTCAACTTCTTCTTGAGCCACTGAGATTACAGGTCTGTGCCACCTGGCTAAATTTTTTTTTTTTGAGGCAAGGTCTCACTGTGTAGACTTGGATAGCCTGAAGCTCACTATGTAGGCCAGGCTGCCTCTGAAATAACAGAGATCTGCCTGCCTCTGCCTCCCAGCTGCTGAGATGCTGAGATTAAAGGCCCATCCGGCCTAGAAAAGTCTTTTATCTGGAGATGCAGATCGTTTTTATCCTGGTAGATGTGTGCTCATGGTGATAAGATTCCTATTCCAATCCATAGTGGGCCTGGGCCCATTTCCTCATGTATATGAGGTGAGGCTAGAAGGGAAGAAACAAACTTAACCAGGAACCTGCCACTGGAAGCACAAGATAAGGATCCCCACTTCTGAGGGACTTCCACGCTCTGTTTTAAAGCTTGTTTTTGTTTTTTCAGATTACATTTTTAGTGGTGCATGCCTTTAATTCTAGCACTTGGGATGCAGGTGGAGCTCTGTGAGACTGAGGTCAGCCTGGTCTACATAGTGAATTCCAGGCCCAGCTGGGCTATATGGAGTCCGTCTCAAAAAGACACACACACACAGTTTCATTTATTTATGTGTATGTGCCTTTGTCTGTGTATGTAGATGCCCTCAGATGCCAGAGGGCATTGGAGTCTCCGGAGCTGGAGTTACAGGCAGTAGTGAGCCACTTCATTGTTAGTTTTGGGAACTCAACTCAGATGGCTTTTAACTACTGAGCCATTGCTCCAGGCCCAACTTTCATATTTTAAAAACAAATTATTTTTATGTGTATTGACTGCACATAGGTGTACCTGTGTCATACAATGCCCACGGAGGTCAGAAGAGGGTGTTGGGTCCCCTGGAACTGGAGTTACCGGTCGTTAGCTGCCATGTGGGTGCTGGGAACCAAACTGGGGTCCTCTGTAAGAGCAGCCAGTGTTCTTAATTCCTGAGCCATCTATCCAGTCCCCCCCGCTTCATATTTTTTTTGGTGCCAAAAGCCCATTTAATTCAAGATTGCCCTCCGGGGTCTCAGAAATCACTCAAGCTGCTTCCTCTACCTGCTATTGAACCCTAATGTCTTCCAAATGTAGTACGGAGTGGTTAAACCCAGGGAACCTGTGGTTTAAGCATGCAAATACTGACTGGCTTTCAACTTACTCAGAAAACATGTTAACATGGTCCTGGTGACTTTTAAAAGCTGATTTGAAATTTTTTTTGAGACAGGGTGTTATTCAACTGAGTCTTGAACTTTGTGCCAGTCTGTGGAGTGTTAAAATTAAAGGTAGGTACCACCACACTTAGCTCTGAATTCTTAAAAAAAAAAAAAAAAAATAGACCACTGTCTTCCAATTGGAGTGACAGACAGTCCGTAGAAAGTGAGGGGTCAGCCAATTTAACCAATTTCCCTGACAGGGAGAGGCCCCTTTTCCCTGACAGGGAGAGCAAAGGTTATGATGAACACTAACAGAAAGACAATCGTTTAGACTCCCTTGCTTACCACTCTTCCTCATTTTGGACTGGCCTATGCATTTCGTTCCTGTTCCTATAGAGACAACTTCCTTTGTCACTGAGAGGAAGAAAACAAATCATTAAGTGAGTTCTCAGAGGCTGAATGTTTCCTAGTGTTCAGGTTTAATAAATGCACATTTCTCCAGGGTATTCCCACAGGGGACTCAAACCAGCAAGCACCAAAAGTCCTGCACCCCCTGGTGGAGATCAGGGAAGCCTGTAGTTTCACATCCTGCCCAGGACAGCTTCTGAATAGCAACTGTTAATTCTTTAGTCTCACCTTGCACGGGTTTATCCTGGGTGTCACAAGCCTGGTCAGCTGGAGATTCTATCTTCACCACCGCTGCCAACAACGTCCACTCACGGTTTGGCTCAGGCTTCCCCTGCTTGGGCAGTCTGATACTATAATGCTCGTAGCACAACTGAGCAATCTCATCTGCTGTCCACATGGTTGGAGCTGGAGCTGAGGCCCTGACTGAAAGCCACAACCATCAGAATAGAAAGGAGAATCAGTGTGACATGATACAGCCTCGGTGCAGTACTTCAGCAGTCTTTAATGTAGCCCAGCTGTGGTCAGGCTGTGCGTCATTTCCCCCTACTAACCTCCCTTCCATTTTTAATAGTGAAGCCGCTAGGCCAGCCAATCCCAGAAGACATGTCTTCAACATTAAAACAAAAGTGTTATGACATTTAGTGAATCTGAACTTACTAAGTACCACAAAAGCCTCCATCAAAAAACTATCCTATTTCTGTTGCAATTTGGAAGCAGCACATAGTGTCACCATACAAGGTTTCATTCCGGAAAGATGCAAGTTTCCTCTGTCTTTTTCAGGCACTATATTTTTCTCCTTTACTGCAACAGCAAGTGAATTTACTTCCCTCTGGTAAATCCCCACTGACAAATTCCACCAGCTGTGTTTTTACAACAGTTTTGCTTAATAGTGTGGGTTCCAATCCCAATTTTACCACAAATTAACTGTGTGATTATTGGGTAGATTGTTTTAGTTTCCATGTTAAGATAGGGATTTGATGTATTTTAAGGACAATACAAAAGCAATTGCTACAGTTTAATGACTAATGTCAACTGTTATTAATATTACAAAAAATAACATTTTACAGTTCTGGGTAATTTTCCTTGAGCTGTTCAGTGGGGGTAGGGAGGAATAATGGGCACATAAAGCTATTTATTTTAAAAAAGCAGATCAGACCGGAGAGGCCTCAGTTCCTTTGCAGAAAATTCTACTCTTGGCTCTAACAATGCTCATTAGATATGTCCTGACACCACGTGGGCTCAATTACATGAAAAGCTTCTTGGATGAGATCATGCGGTGGATAAACGCAGAGGAGCGTTTGTAGGGTAACAGGATAGTTTTTAATGAACCCAGATGCACACAAAAGCTTCTGAAAAGTATTTCTACATACAGGCCCCTTTTGCAGTACATGGTAACGATTAATCTGGCAGGGACTAACAGAAATTGTGACTTTGGGGAGAGAATGTTATTTCCAGGGAGACACTGTGCCATCAACCTACAACTAAACTAGAAAAGCCAAAGGGAGCCCTAAATACATCACGTCATTCACGTCGCCGAGTGACGTTTTGATATTTTGGTCCGCGGTAATTCAAGCCCACTGCCCCTCTTCAAAAATCGTGAACTTCCAGCTACACAGGCCTTTCTTTGTCCTCAGGTAAAGTTGCAGAAACCTGAAAAGCCCACTTCCTTTGGGAAGGAAGTCATGCGCCAGAAGAAAGCGTTCTGGAGGGAGGGCAGACCCGGGTCGCCGGGACCCCACACGGGTGGAAGGGGCACCGGGGTGGGCACGGGGCACCACTTGAGACCCCTTCCCACGGAGGCAGCGGACCGGCGCAGCACCGCGCTCTCCCTCGCGTCCGCACAGCCTCTCCCCACGCGAACCCGGCCGTGGAAAGCCACCCTCGGACGCGGAGACCTAAGGACCCGCTCAAACTGCACGCCCGACCAGCCACAGCCACTGCCACCGCCCAGACACGCACCCCCGCCACCACCAGGCGCGCCCCGCAAGAAAGCCGAACCTAGCGGCGCAGCGGAAATGACGCCACAAGGCGACAGCTCCTTCCGCTCCCCGCCCTCGGAGCACGCCGGGTAGGCCGGTCTTTGTAGTCCTTAGAGGAGCCGCGGGCCCAGGACAGAGGCCTGTTTCACAGGAACTTCATGTGTTTCTTGACCACTTCCACGGCCACCTCCCATTCCAGCCCCAAAGAAACAGACGTACGCCCCACGGAAACAGAAACTCAAGCAGACAGTAATAAGCATTTGTTCAGAGAACACATGGTTCCTAAACAAGGTTTATTTGGTAACAAGGTAAAATGAAACTCTTGTGGTGGTTGAACTGCAGTGGTATGATGGCTGGCAACGCACATGAATCCCTCCGACCAGAGCTTTTGCTGAAATGCAGAGGTGCTCAGGCTGTGTTATTTTCTATACAGAGGTGCCTACTGTTGTGCTTTCCAGTGTTTCAGAGGCTGATACTGTTTCCTTCTTGTCTTCAGGTTTCATAGCAGGAAAGAGAAGTACTTCCTACAGAAGACAAAAAACATACTTTGAGTCAAGCACCGAGTACCTATTTTCTTGCAGCTGTCCACCTATTGCTTTTGCCTCTTGTTACCAACCAAATCCAGAGATCTGCATACCCCACCATTCTAGGGACCCTGTCAAAAGAGTGAATCAATACAGATTCTATTAAAATTGAATTCCCGATCTGACCCAGCACAACACTATAACCCCAGTGCTCTGGGTGGAGGCGAGGATCAGAGGGGTTCCAAGCCAGCCTTGGCTTAGTGACACCCTGTCACCCCAAAACACAACAACAACAAAATGGATTTCCTCCTGTGTAAAATGGTAAGAAGTTTTCACAGCTCCCAGAAGCTGTGATGTAATACACGTAGAAGACTGGAAACATGAGAAATGCAAACAATATTTCTCCTTAAGGTCAGATGCCCCTGAGCTTCCACAGAGTGGCATGGAACTTCTCGAGCTCAAAGTCCTTTATTTTCCAGGCCCACCACGCTCTGTCTCCAACACAGCAGAGTTCTGGAGATGCGTGTGCTGGGAGGTCTGCTGCGTACCTTGATGTTATTGGAGTCTGTGAGAAACATGGTAACGCGATCAATGCCCATGCCCCAGCCAGCTGTCGGGGGCAGCCCATATTCCAGGGCTGTACAGAAGTTTTCATCTATGAACATAGCCTCATCATCACCAGCAGCCTTAGCCTAGAATAAAGAGAGTCAAATGTAATTCTTCCCATCATCTCAGTGTCCAAATGAACACATTCAAACTTTCAAAAAGGGTACTAAAAATGTTTCTACTACTCAAGACTTGCTGGGAATTGATTTCCCAGTGACTCTAGGATTTAGCTATTTCTCCACACGCCTGGAAGTTGGGACTGATAAAATCTACCTCATAAACGAAGCCCATTATTTTACCTTGAATGAGGTGGCACGAACTTGGAAGGCTGAGGCAGGAGGATGGCCAAGAGTTGAAGGCTAGTTGGGGTTACACAATGAATGAATCCCATGTTAGCCAGGTCTACATAGCGAGACCTTGTCTCAAAAAGCCATAGCGGGGGTCCCCACAATACAACAGAAAAGAAAAACCCATCTCAGAATGTACATATATTTCCCTGAAAAAGGTTCTTCTGCTATAGCTGGGGGTGGTGGTACACACCTTTAACCCCAGCACTTGTGAGGCAGAGGCAGGTGGATCTCGGTGAGTTTGAGCCCACCCTGGTCTACATAGTGAGTTCCAGGCCAGCTGGGGCCACAGGGAGACCTGTCTCAAAAAGACCAAAAAGAAAAAAGTTCCTCTGCTTGAAAATCTGGGACTCCAATGAGACTAATTCTCAGCCACTGTATGATACCAATGAATCCCTCACTCCTGAAACCACCCGTCAGTAGCAGAGGTCATGAAGGCAGACTTCTTGCCATTGCCTTCTTTACATCTTTACCAGCCTCTCATCCCTGAGAGACCCCAATAAAGGCACAATCTGAGAAAAATGTTCTTTTTAAGCCAGTGCACTTAAAAACAAATGTCATTCTCCCCAGACAATCTAAAACTCATCTTAGATACTGTACAATCAAAGCCAAAGTCTCCTCCATTGGGCATAGTGGCACATCCCTGTAGTGCCAGCACTTAGAAACGGGAGGCAGGGGGATTAGGGAGTGAAGGCAAGCCTTGGCTACACGAAATACTGTATCAAAAAACAAAAAGCAAAAACTAAAACACATCTCCATTTTGAAAAGCAACCTCTCGTAAAGTCTGCTTTTCATTTCTGCTACACCACGAGGATTACACACATTGACACAGATTAAGGTCAGTACTTCCAGTGTGCGAGGTGGTGGTGCCTTTGCTTATTCTCCTTCCTACCTTGGCTTGTTCTTCAAATAGCTGCCGCTGCCGCATGGGGTCATTCAGCTCAGTGTAGGCATTGCATATCTCCTTCTTCATGACAAACAGCTCAAAGCGCTCAGTCAGACCTTCTTTGGAGCGGTGCCTGGGAACATGAGACCAAAGAGGATAAATATCCAGGTCCCTGATAATTTAACATCTGACTCAAAAACTGCAACCTGAAGCCTCACACATACTTAGCACAGCACTGATCATTGGTACCACAGTAAAAGTGAGAGACCACAAAGACCTATCTTCCTACCAAGCAGTGAGGCAGATGGTACCTACTGAATCTACATCCTTCTGCGTGGCTCTCACACTGACTCTGGACTGCCCACAGGACTTGGGCTAGCAGCAGAGGTCCGGCATGTTCGCATGTTAAGGCTTGCTTTTGGAATGCCTGACTTGGGTAACCAACCCAACCATCCTGGTGAAAGAAGCCCAGGCTAATGCCAGAGAGGTATGAAGGGCATGAAGAGGCCCTGGATGATAAGACCAAAGTGCCCTGGCAGAATTCCACCAGTTATCCTACCAATACTGGAGCAAAAGACCGGACCACCCAGCCAGCACAGAACATCTTGAAAATAAACTGCAGCTTAACACCAGTAACTAATGGTCCCCCACCCCCTAGTACTGGGGTTTCAAGGCATGGTAGGCAAGTGTTCTATTTCTAGCACTGAGCTAAGTCCCTGGTAGCCACAGCCCTTATCCTGGGGTTTTTTTGTAGCAATATGCTACATCTTACCATTTGGCCAATGGGCTCATTATCTGGGGGTGATCACAGATGAATGTAGGACTGATGCATGTCACTTCGAGGAACTCTCCAACAAGCTTAATGAGAAAGCAGAGCTATAAAAGGCTTCTGAATATAATTTTGACAGTTCCAGGCCAAGGGGAAGCGTCAGCTCCCACATACACAAGTTCACCTTATAGCTTTCCAAAGGATAGAAAGGATTAACTGAGATAACGCATATGAACTATATGGCACACAGCTTAGCATTACAGGTCAGTTTTGTTTTTTGAGTCAGAGTCTCACTAGGCTGGTCTTGAATTCAGAGTTCTACCTGTTTCTGCCTCCCAAGTGCTGGGATTAAAGGTGTGTGCCACCATGCCCAGCTCCCCAAGGTTTATTTTTTGCTCATCTTTCATGGGGCTGATGAATCCCCTGGCTTTGGAACTACTAAGTGAGCACTCCACCACTGAGCAACATCCTCAGCCTTAGTTCAAAGCTTCTTAAATCTCCTGTTCCTCTGTAAGATTTTCCTGCAAAGCTGCAGAGGAGTGCTTTCCTCAGCGGGATCCATTCCGGAGGGATCAGGGTGCAGGTTGTTGCTGGTGGAGCACAAGTGCGGTGGGGCAAGGTAACTCACCTTATCAAGGAGCCTGGCTGTGGTCCGAGGTGGGGGGCATTCAACAGCTTTTGCCACACAAATATCATCAAGAATTTTTCGAGTTTCTGTGACAAAAATGTACAAGTTAGGACAGGGGACATCAGAGTAGCATAGTTAAAACATATATAATGTGTGGGAAATTTTAGCTATGACCCAGACAAATCCAGAGTTGAACAGGAAGGCCACACAGTGCAGAAGGGTGGCATTTTACCTTCAGTTTCAAAGAGGTTAGTTTCTGGCAGCTTTATACCCAGGGCTTTCTCAAGCTCTTCTACCATGCTGATTCTTCGGAAAGGTGGGGTGAAGTCGATCTCGTAGGCTTGACCTTCTGGCCCATCTGGGTGGTAGGTGATCTTGTAACTACCTGTAATGTTTTTCACCATCCCTGGGAGAAAAAGCAGCCATTTCACAGACTGAAAACAGGAAGCTGTCCTCTGAAAGCAGCACACTAGTCTCCAACAAGTGTGCATGAAGACAGCACCCACCTGATAGCATCTTCTCTGTGATTTCCATGAGATCGTGGTAGTCTGCATAGGCCATGTAAAATTCACAGGTGGTGAACTCAGGATTGTGAGTCAAGTCAATTCCTTCATTCCGAAACTGGCGCCCGATTTCATAAACCCGGTCAATACCACCAACTACTAGCATCTACCAAAAACACATAGCCATAGTCATGAGAGCTGGTCTTGTCTTAACAGCTTGGAGAAGTTCCTGTGTACTAACTGGTTTTCATCAGCTTAAGTACATCATTCGAAGTGTCCCGTACCCTGCTCTCTTCAAACTCTTGTAGGAGACAGCTGACATTATTTTTCTGTCTGTGAAGGGTTCCTGAACAATCTTCCTGTGTTTTGGGTATTGCTTCACCTGTCAGATCCACTGATGACATGCCAGCATAGAGGTACTAAAGGATGGTGTAGATATTACACAGAATTCATTATGGTGAAGGGGACCAGAGAGCTCTACCTATGCTAAATAGGCTGCAGAGATCCTGGTGGCAGTGACTTGTGCCTAAAAGACACTGTTCTCTGTGAGAACCAGTGAGATGACTCCACATCATTCCAGTCATGTGGCCAGCACAATTCCCTGATCATTCAGATTTGAGTTTGGCTTTACCTAGTTACAACAGTTCTGTCTGCTATCTGCAACTCAGAACTTTTGGGGTTTTTTGGTCTTTTTTGAGACAGGGTTTCCCTGCAGCCCCAGCTGGCCTAGAACTCAGAAATCTGCCTGCCTCTGCCTCCCAAGTGCTAGGATTAAAGGTGTGTGCCACCACGCCCAGCAACATTTGGGTTTAAAAAAAATTTTTTTTGATTCATTATATTTATTTCATGTGGATGAGTGTCTTGCCTCCATGTATATAGGTGCACCCGTGTCATGCAAAGCCTGCAGAGACCAGCAGAAGAGGGCACTGGATTCCCCTGGAACCAGAGTTATGGATAGCTGTTAGCTGCTACATGGGTACTGGGAATTGAACCCAAGTCTTCTGGAAAAGCAGCCAGCACTCTTAACTGATGAGCCATCTCTTCAGCCCCTGAAGACATTTGTTTCTTAATTTCCAGAGAGAAACTGAAATTAACTCTTACAAAAGACTAAAATTAGAGGACTAGGATATGGTTCAATGGTAGAGTGTTTGACAGAATTTAAAAAAAAAAGACTAAACTCAGACCTAATCTAAAGAAACTTACAAAGTTAACATTTTAGGGAACTAAAGCATGAAAATCTGTGTACTCGGGGAAGACAATCCTTTCCACCCACTAATGATCTTACATTCGTGTGTTACGACCAACAAACCTGACAAATTACAACACTCTCCTGGCTGTTTCTTCTTCAATGTTTTTTTTTTTTTTTAAAAATTTAAATATTTTTTTATTTTTATGTATTTTTATGTTTTTTTTTTTTTTTTTAACGTGTATCAGTGTATTGCCTGCATGTACGTGAGTGCATCCCTGTCATGCAATGCCACGGAGGTCAGAAGGGGGCTTCAGAGTCCCCTGGAGCTGGAGTTAAGGACGGTTCACAGCCACCATGTAGGTGCTGGGAATCAAACCTGGGTCTTTTGCAAGAGCAGTCAGTGCTCTTAACTGCTGAGCATCTCTCCAGCCCCCAATGTTCCTTATTTCTGACTGTACCCATCTAGCCAAAGATTTCCCAGCTTTCTGCTACTTTAAGAAAGTAGGGTGTGTGATTCTTGACTACCTTGTGGTAGAGTTCTGGAGCAATTCTCATATATAAGTTCATATCTAGCTCATTGTGATAGGTGATGAAAGGCTTGGCCACAGCTCCCCCAGGGATGATGTTCATCATGGGAGTCTCGATCTAAAACAGAGAAATATTTAGTTTAGGGCAATCAGAAACTTACAGCAATAGTGACAGTATGCACATGACCATGCAAATTCATGCAGACAAAAACCCAGCATAGAACTGTGGAAGTGGGGCCGCAGGCCCCAATCTTAGCTCAAGAACTATTGGGCAGCTGATTACGGCTGGGTGAGGAAGAGCTGATCTTAAGGGAGTGACACTAGATAGGCTGACTAGATCCCAGTGGATGAAACTGCACTGAAGGACATCTGGGGACACTAACTTGACTTGATAGGCCTTAACATAAATGAAAGAATTCATGAAATTCAGTGGGGGCGGGGGGGGAGTCTACAGGAGGGTGCCATTGGGGAAGGGGGTATAAAGATGGTTAACATATTGTGTATGGGATACAAAAAAATGCAATTAAATATACAAAAGAGAAACAGAGAGAAAAGAAAAAAGACAACCAGAGGCCCTGGGGACATTGACTAGACCCATCATATCCCAAAGGAATATATTATATCCCATTATATCCCATTATAGACCCATTATATCCCAAAGGAATACTCTCATGTGCAAGTGCTTGATGAAGAACAGATTACTTGAGTTTCTAGAGCAGCATCGCCATTTCTATTAATAACAATCCTGCAAACACTGGCCGGCTGTAAGTGGGAATCCAAATGGATTCAGCAGTTTCTTTTTGGTTTATGCTGCAGTTTATTTACATCCCTTAATTGGTCTATGTTCCAAAATCCAAGGTATAGAAACATTTGCACATATGTATGATGCTCATGGAAACATTTAAAGCAAAAATAAAACTTCTAAACATTTACATGTGTACCCCATATGTAACCTGCATACACATGTATGTAGGTGAATCTATGTGGATCTATGTGTATATATATATATATATATATATATATATACATACACACACACACACACAGTAAATGGTGAGGGAGGCTCTCTCTCTCTTTACACACACGGGATTTTTCAGTTTCGCTATATTTATTTCTTGCTTGAATTTGTACTATGTGCACTTGCGTTTTTAATATGATGAAAATATTTTTCATGCTACAAAGCCTCCAAGATTATTTGAACATGGCATCATCAGCACATGGATGGTGCTGTTCCATGCTCACTATTTTGGAAGTCGGGGGCTGCCTTCCTAATCAGAGCACTGAACAAGGTTGAGCAAAGACACAGGTAGGAGATGCTGTCCTTAGGCATGAGGGACACTGGCAGGATATGCCTTGGAAAAGGAAGGGACGGCACAGTAATCAACAAGCACAAGGTGGCCGTCCTTTCAGGAAAAGAGCCCTTCACCCTTGGTCACCTCCAGGAATCCCAGCTCATCCAAGAAACTTCTTATGTATGTGATGATCTTAGAGCGGATGATAAATTTCTGTCTCACAAAGTCGTTCAGTATCAAATCCAAGTACCTCTGACGATACCTTGTTTCCTAAATCAAAAGCAGCAGTTAGAAATCACTGATGTTATTTAATGGTATGATAAAAAAAAATGGGATGCACCCCCGCTGCAGCAGGCAGACCCTGGGAACTCACCTTGTCTTTGAGGCCAAAGTGAAGATGAGGCAGCATATGCAGGCAGGGGGACAGCAGTGTGATTTCATGGGGAACGATGCTCAGTTCACCCTTCTTGGTTTTCCCAGGATTCCCCTGAACTCCAATGATGTCTCCCCGGCGCAGTTTGTTATTGATACGAACAAATTCTTCCTCAGATTTATAATTCCTGAGTGAAAGTGCACAATTTTCAAACTAATACTGACTGCTGGTTTACTCAGGAAACCCTCTTAACTGTTAATATGAGTCCAAGAAGAGTCTTGGCTTTAGGATCAACTGTGGGATTATTGTTTATGTTTACTATCATATAATTTGAGGACAGTACTAGGTTCTAGGCTTTTTATCATCTACTAAAAAACTTTACCCAAACCATGTCCCCCTCCTTCCTACCAAAACTCTTCAAATAACAATGGAAGAATAAGACCATATCAGCCTTTGTCCTCGACTGTCCAGATGCTGCTCTGGGCTAGGGCAAAAGGGTCTGTAACTGGGTATTTCTATGTACCTGGAGTTGGCCATGACTTGTAACTTGACCCCCTCTCCTCGAAGATCATAGAAGATGAGCTTCCCCCCAGAAGCTCTCTTGGCATGGATCCTACCTAGAAGAACAGGAAAATTCCTGACAGAATGAGAAATCCTTTTACAGTTGTCAGTACCAAGAGTTCCCTGTGTAACATCTACCAGAATAATCTGACTAGGGCCTGAGGTCTAAGCCCTGCTCTTTTCTCTATGCCAATGATTCCCAGAAAGATCTTATTTTAAAGATGTTCAGCTGATTCTTGGATGATGGCAGTAACAATACAGGTATTGAATCTTCCCGAATCCTCAATAAAAATAAAAAGTACAACTGGATAGGCTAAGCCAAAACCATTGATAAAATTACATGGGATGATATTCCCAAGAACCCCCAAATATAAACAATGTGCTATACCACCCAGGGCCATAAGACCTCCACAGGGGATGAGCAGTGGGCAAGGAATGGGGCATCCAATGGATCTGAGCACTGGAGAACCCCCACTGGTTAAAGGTATTTACTACAAAGTGTGAGCATTTTGCTCTTGGCTAGATGGAGGGCAGTGGCAGAGTGGGAGAGGATGTGCCTTTTCCTTATCAGTGGGGGGCTACACTAAGAAGGCCTAGAGGATATGGAACAATTAGTGCACACAGCTCTAAACTGAGCAGGTAGGCTTCTTTCCAGGATAAGGGCCTGACAAAAGCAAGGAAGAGGTAGCTAATCCCAGCACCTGGCAGGCAGAGGCAGGCAGATGTCTTTGAGTTCAAGGCCAGCCTGGTCTACATAGCAAGTTCCAGGACAGCTGGGGTTAGGAACTAACAGAATTATAGCCAACTACTGTGTTTATGAACACTTTACAAAAACAAAGAGTGCAGTGAGGCTGAAAACCAAACCAATCCTCTTCTGACATTCAGGGAAATAAGGACTGGGGAAGTAGCTCAGTAGGTAGAGTGCTTGCCCAGCACTCACGAAACCCTCAGTTCAATCCTAGCACCACTTAAATGGGGTGTGGTGGTACATGTCTACAATCCTAGGCAGAAGCAGGAGGTTACTCTTGGCTACATAAGTTCAAGACCAGCCTGACCCTGTTGCAAAAAACAAACAGCTGGGCATGCAGGTGTATACCTTTAATCCCAGCACCTGGGAGGCAGAAGCAGGGAGATCTCTAGTTTGAGGCCAGCCTGGCCTACATAGTGAGCTCTATCCTTAAAAATTAAGCAACACAGAAGTAGTAGGTGAGCCAGGGAGATGGCTTGCCGGATAAGCCTGGTGACCTGAGTTTGATTCCAGGACCCCACACAAAAAGCTGGATTAGGTGGTGTACATCTATAATCCTGGTATTCTACTGAGAGATGGCAGATAGAGACAGGAGAATTTACTGGAAGCTATGGGCAGCTAGCATGGAGTGCACAGCACCGTGCCAGAAACAAAAGAAGCCTTGCCTCAAAACAAGGGAAGGGGGCTGGAGGGAAGGCTCAGCAGTTAAGAATGCTTCTTGCTCTTCGGAAGACCCGAGTTTGGTTCCCATCACCTATATCAAGTGGCTTACAACTCCCCATAACTACAGCTCAATGGGATCTGACACCTTCTTCTGGCCCTCAGATACACACACATACACACACAAAATCATAAAGAAAAAATAGAGCTTTAAAAAAGAAAACAAAACAAAAATAAAAGGGGAAGAGAGATTAAACCCCCGAAAAGGTACCCTCTGACCCCCATGAGCACACCTGTACTCACACATACATGAAAAGGTGCCCTCCGACCCCCATCTGCACACCTGTACTCACTCACACAAACATGAAATAAATGTAATTTAAAAAATCAAAACTAAGATAACAATACAAAAATACAAAGATTAAAAAAAAAGAATTTAAGAGTGACAATTACCAAAAAGAACTGAAGCTCTACCATCTCCAGATAAAAAAGCAATCCAAAGCAAGAAAACAAAACCCCAAAACTTAAATACTAGTGAAATTTATTAAATTTTATTTATTTTTTTTATGAATCCCAGCACTTGGGAGGCAGAGGCAGGCGGATCTCTGTGAGTTCAAGGCCAGCCTGGTCTACATAGTGAGTTCCAGGTCAGCTGGGGTTACAGGGAGACCTTGTCTCAAAAAGACCAAAAAAAGAAAAAAAAGAATTCATGGGCTGGAGAGATGGCTCAGTGGTTAAGAGCACCGGCTGCTCTTGCAGAGCTCCCAGGTTCAATTCTCAACACCCAGTAGCCATCACCTCACCTAGAATGTGCAGCTGCTTCAGGGCCATTCCCCTTCTTTAAGCACATGTAACGGTACTGTCTCTAGGAAAGTAGCTTCAGACACAGCCTACTTAACATCAAGACCAACTGGGGCCAGTGAGGCAGGATTTCAAATCTGAGGCGAGCCAAGGCTATACAGCAAGGTCCTGTTTCAGCACCCCAAAAGGGTAGAAGGAACAAGAGTAGCCCAGGCTCTCCTTATGTCACCAAAGACACCTGTCTGTGGGAGTCCAGTGAATTTGTCAGGAAATCTTCCTACCTGCCACTTTTAAGGTGATGTCAGTCAGGTGGTCCCCAGGTTGCAGGTGACTGTATTCTTGGATGAACTGAGTGAGTGAGATATCTACGTGGAACTTGTGTGGGTATGGGTCCTCTCCATTGACCTTTAGCTGGTGGACTGCTTGACTACGGATCTTGTAGTATTGCTGTTAAAGAGAGAGAGGCAGCCCTAAGAAGCTGAACCTGGTGAGGTCATGGTCTCTCTAACAGAGCAGTGCATTCTGCCTCACAGCGGCGCCAGTATGCTGAGGTTTCTCTAACTGTACCGGTTACTTTTCTTGTCACAGGGACAGAATGCTGGCAGAACTGAAGGGAGGAAGCATTACTCTGGATTTCAGTTTAAGACACAATTATGGCAGGAAAGGCAGCTGGGAGCAGCTTGATCAGACCAGTGGGAACTTATGAACAGCTTTATTTCTAGAGATCAGAGACAGCTCAGGCTGAACGGGGCTGGGCCAAAACCATTAAGACCCACCCCCAGCGGCCCAATTCCTCCAGGAGGCTCTACAACCTCCCAAAACAGCACCACCAGCTAGGTACCAGGAGTTCAAATACACCAGCCTGTAGGGAACATAACCGTAACATTAATCACGCCCTCTGACTTCTTGAAACCACAGGACTGACTACGGAATGAGGCCTGCTTTTAAACATGCAGATCCACAGCTGAAAAGAAGGCCAGCATTCCAAAATGCAAGATTCAACACAGTGAAAAAGGAATGGAGTTCTAGCTAAAATAACACAACTTTGTTACAGGTGGCCTCGGTCACAACTTTTGTGGACTGACTCTGTACGGTGGAGTCACTTACCTTCTCAACTACTCTATGGCCACACATTAGACTTCTCCCTTGGACAGGCTGATGGAGTCTGTAGGATGTAAACCCTTTTATTGTGTGTGTGTGTGTGTTAGAATGTGTGGGCATATATGTATGTGGATGCCTGGCAAGAAGGCATTGGATCCCTTGGAGCTGGAGTTACAGGTAGTTGTGAGTCCCTCAGCTGGGTGCTGGGATTCAAACTCTGGCCTTCAAGATTAAGTAGCAAGTGCTGCTAACAACGGAGCCATCGCTCCAGCTTGGAAAACTTTTTCCTAGTTGCAATTTCCTGTCTGTTGTTACAATGGGCATGACTATGTTTATGTAGAAACCTAGGAAGGGAAGACAAAGTAGAGGAGTGGAGATATGGTCTGGTATGCAGAATATATTTTGACAAATAACATAAGCCCTAGTCCATCTTTGGGGAGACACTTCTCTAGGGCTGCTATAAGGCTGATCTAGGTCCAAGGAAGATTAATTAGTTATTTTGGAGGAGCAGATCCTCCCAACTGCCTACTGGGAGCTGATATGAAAACTCTGAGCCAGTGCATTTAGCTAGGCAGACACCATGCCCTCTGCCCACCGACTGGCAGAGACCCAAGGCTCACCACCTGTTTCAGTTCCTATTTATCTTGTTAGTCAGTTGATCCCTCCTGCTCCCTGGTCCCAGGGACTCTGCCATAGCCTCATCAGAAGCTTTCGTGTCCAGTCATCCCAGTGGCCCAGGGGAACTCACATTTGGGTCCAGGGCCTCCTCCTCAGCGGCCACGCCATTGTCAGCAGTGTGGTTGGTGGCAGCAGCAGCCTGGCCTAGCTGCTTCTCACTGAGCTCTTTCTGCTTGGCCTCTTTCTCTGCCACTTTCTTCTCAGCTTTCAGTCGTCTCTTCAGTTCACTGTTGGGAAGATGACAGAATCCAATGTGAAAGCCCGAAGAGCCGTCTAGCTCCTGCTCCACTGCCACGTCTCAAAATATGAACAGCCTGGGGAAAACATTCCTGCTCAGCCCCCACCCCTAATTAATTTCACTCCAACTATACCGCATTAGTCACTACACTATTTCTGAATACACTCTATTTGTGAATGAAACAGAAGAAAAAACAAACTTAGAAAAATGAAAGAGAACATTTCAGTCTTTGCTTTGGCTCACAATTAAAACCAAGATACACCAGGATAAAGATATACTAGCTTATGTTTAGAATAGGAACAGATTTTTCAGAAGAATCAGCAGGACAGGGTTTTTCTTCTTCCTTTTTTTAGAGATTGGTTCTCCCCAAAGTCCCAGCTGCCCTGGAATTTGCCATGTAGACCAGGCCTCAATCTCAGAGATCCACCTGCCTCTGCCTCTGCTGGAACTAAAGGTATGTGCTACCACACTCAGCTAGGACAGGTTTTTCTTAAGCTATTTGGGCTACGAGGCTCCCTGGCACCAGGAACTGCATCTCAGTTGTTTGGTATCCCCTGAAGGTGAAGTTTCTACGGCATCAATCAAATGTGTGATTAGGTAAGACTCCAGCTCTGTCTGCCAGCCTCTCGCTGTCCCTCCCGGAGAGGTGAGTTAGGCTGTGGGAAGACCTGGTTCTCCAGAGCTTGAGGAGACTCCCCGTAGACAATCTCTCTTGAGGTAGATGTCAAAGGCTGGTCTGGGGGCTGGGGATTTAGCTCAGTAGGTACAGTGCTTGCCTAGCATGCTCAAAGTCCTGCGTTTGATCCCCAGCACTGCATAAAACTGGTTGTGGTGGCACACATCTGTAACCCAGCACTGGGAAGGTAGAGGCAGGAGACCATAAGCTCAAGGTTATCTGTACCTATGAAGTGAGTCCAAGGCCAGCCCCCTGGGTTACATGGGACTCATCCTCTCCACCCCCAAAGAAAAGAAAAGGCTGGTCTGACTCTGACAGGAGACTAGAACACTGCACAAAGAAAGCAGTGTGATGGAGAATATGATGCTGTATTAGTCAAATGGCCTGGGGTTCAATTCTGAACTGTCTACACACTGAGTATCCTTACAAAAAAGACCTCTCCCCAACTAGAGAAAGGAAATTAAGACCCCCCTCTCACCAGTTTGTGAGGACTGAAATATGTATTATTACAAAGAATGATCATGGGGCAACGAGATGGCTCAGTGGGCAAAGGCACTTCCCACCAAGCCTCACAACTTGAATTCAGTCTTCGGGACCTACATGTTGGAAGGGGAACCGAGACACCATCCTGTCCTGGCATTTAGTCAGCATGAGAATGTGCACTACTCTAGGTATCTCTTGCTACCCTAACCTTTCACATCCTGCCCCTACGGCACAAGCTATACAAAACTGAATGTATTTCTGGTCAAATCTCTCATTATACAAACTTCATAATTGTTGCTTGTTACCTGAAACTCAAAACCAAAACAATGTGGGCAATTCAGTACCCCTATAATTTGAACTTGCTATTCTTCAGTACAGAACTATTACAAAAGGTCCCAAGTCATGACAGCACACTGCTTGGCTTTAAATATGTCCTCCACTTTCTTTTGTTGTTCATGGGGGGTTGAAGTGTGTTAGACAAATGTTCTAACAGTGAATTACACCCCAAGAAACAGGGGCTTACTAAGTTTCTCAGTCTGACCTTGAACTTGGAATCCTCTTCCCTTAGCTCTTGAGCAGCTTTAATTACAGGTGTGCACACCACTGCTCCTGGCTATATTCTTTATTTTCTTTTCTTCTCTTTATTTTTTAAAAAATATTTTAATTTTATATGTATGAGAACTGCCTGCATGTGTGTAAGCGCACCTGTGCCCTGCAATGTCTGTGGAGGTCAGAAGGTGTCAGATCTCTTGGAACTGGAGTTATGGATGGTTGTTAGCTGACACATGGGTGCTGGGAATTGAACCTGGGTCCTCTGCAAGAAAAGCCAGTGCTCTTAACCACTGAACCATTTCTCCAGCCCCTGTATCCTTAATTTTCAATAGGATTTTTACAAAATTAAAAAAAAAAATGATTCAATTACCTTTTAAGTGAAAAAAATGATGGCTTCATAACATATCTAGGATCTCAGTCTAGAAAGACTTCTTTCTAGGTACAACTTGTCTTGTTAACAGTTGTAAAGAACACCTTTCCAGAACAGTCTGCTTGGTCTATCATGCTGTAGTTCAGTGAGTAGGCATTTAGGGTTTCCCTGGGATTAAGACAAATCTGTTTCCCACTCAACTCAGGTTTTGCTCTTATAGTTTCTAGGAACCATCCAAGAAAGACCCTAAGGACAGCACAAAACAGAACCAAAACCCAGAAAGACACAGAAGGGAAAATAACTAGCATTAGAAAGTCCTTATTTTAGGTGGGGTACAGTGGCACAGGCCTATGATCCCAGCTTGGGGGAGGTGGAAGCAGAAGGCCCAGGAGTTTAAGGACAGTCTTCATTAATAGTGGGTTAGAAGTCACCCTGGCCTACACAGCAAGTCCTGGCTCAAAAATAAAAATTAGGGCCAGGTGTGATGGCACACACCTCTAATCCCAGCATGCAGAGGAGTGAGAGGCAGGAGGCTCTCTGTGTTTGAGTCTACTTTGGTCTACATAGTGAATTCTAGGCCAGCCAGGGTGAGACCCTGTCTGCAAAAGTTTTTTTTTTTTTTTTTCTAAATTTATTTAGGGGGGGGGGGGTGAGGACAGGGAGACTGTAAGAAGATTTGAATTTATAAAGAGAAAGTGAGAAAGGACTATGTATTTTGGTAATAGAACTCTGTGTCCTCAAGTCCAAAGACTTAGTCAGCTTAATAGATATTGAAGAAAAAGATTTTTGCTCCCAGAGCAATAAAGATGGTAATGAGCACCAACCTTCTTTTACCAGAAAGTGGCTTGTCCTTGTGAAGCGTTGTGAAAGGAGCAAGTTGACCCAGTCGAAGTTCCCTCTGACCCCACTCTGCCCAGAAGGTTTGACGCAGGGACCCCCTAACAAGCCTGACAGCAGCTTGCATCAACATGGCAGAACACCCTGGAACTAAGGATTACCACCACCTAGCAGGAAACAGAGACTGGAATCAGATGGGACACAATACATACCCACTCAACCTGCACTCTTCTGAGTCGGGGGAGGGGAGCCATAGACTACCTTTAAATGTCCTATGTAACTGCTGAGCCATCTCTCCAGCCCCTTAATGTCCTATTTAACTTCAAACCCTCCTAACTAACAGTAATCCTGTCAACATTCACTGTTTTGAAACTATAACTGACAATTCTCTCAGTCCTGATACAGAAAAAAGGTTCATATCTGGGATCAAAGAGTCAAATGAAGTCAATCAACAGCTTACATGTACAAATAGTATGACATTCTAAAATACAGGAGACAAAAGGTGAGGAAGTTTTCTGAAGCCCTGGAGTGGCTTTGCCCCAAATATGAAACACCTGGCCAAAAATGATGATGGTAAGTATATAAACATAAGGAAAATGTCTCTTCAAATACAGATTTTTAAACATTGGTAAAAGGGGCACATGCCTGTAGTCAGAGCTTCTCAGGAGGCTAAGGAAGATCATTTGAGCTCAGGAGTTTGTGACCAGCTTGGTTAACACAGTGAGACCCCCATCCCAGAAAATAAATAAACTACACAAAAACATCTCTTGAGTCAAGAGTCAAAGAGAAGACCAGTCTGGAGTTTTAGGAACAAAGAGGAGAGGACAGGTCTTACACATTATGTTAGGCATCATTAGCACTAGATGGTGCCAGAACTACCAAGATCACACTCTACTGTGTATAAATGGAGGGGGAAATCTTTCATTTGAGAGTGATTTTCCCAAGGTAGCCCATCAGTTTTTAACCTTGAAGACAGTATCTGGCATAAAATGGTGCTCATTAAAGGTTTCAGACCAAGAAGTTCCAAGAACAAGTAAGAAAGAGAAAGGAATGTTAAACACAAACATTATTTTAGCCCATTGTCCTTCCAGAAATATACAACAACACATTCCTTTAGACAACTCAAGGCAGACAGCACAGGGGGCTGGGGAGTTACAGACTCAATACAGACTTCACTTTAGATCTCTGCTCCAGTGCTGCATTTTCGATCAATGCTAGAAGACACAATAGGAATATAAACTTACCATCATTTGCAATGACAGAGATCAAATCAAGGGCCTTGTGCATGGAAGGCAGGCGCTTCACCACTAAGCTAAACCCCAACCCCGAGAACACACATTTTAGCATACATTTGATCACCCAGGGCCACAGTTTATGAATCTGAAAAATGGACATTAATATTTGTCTTGCAAGAGTACTAAGATTAGATAGAAAGCTTGCACAGAAATAGCATCCTGTTTAATAAACATCCACAAAAGGGGCTGGAGAAATGGCTCAGTGGTTAAGAGCACCGGCTGCTCTTGCAAAGGACCTAGGTTCCGTTCTCAGCACTCACATGGCAGCTAACAACTGTCCATAACTCCAGTTCCAGGAGATCCAATGCCGTCTTCTGACCTCTGTAGGCATTGCATGACACGGGTGCACTTACATACATTCAGGCAATACACTCATAAAATAAAATATTAAAAAAAAAGTTGTTACATTTATTGAGTGTGCATACTGAGGTCAGGTGACAACTTGGACGTGTCTGTTCCTTTGGTTCTGTCCTTTCACCATGTGAATCCCAGCAATCAAACTCAGGTAGTCAAGATTGGTGGCAGGTGCCTTTACAAGCTGAACCACCTTGCCCACCCCCTAACAATTTTTCTAAAACTCATGAAGCAGAACCAGGAGACACAAAAGGAAAAAATGAGCTCTTATTCCAAGTGCATCCAGTATGTATGTCCCTGAAGATTCAACAAGGGCATTAAGCTCTAGAACACTAAGGCAGCCATGGTATGTAACAATTTAAACTTCCACGTTCCGGAGTGATATGTAGATTTTCCAAGCACTGAAAAAGACATTCAAGTCACTGCTCACGTTCTGTGGTTCAAATGAGCATTCCCGGACTTTTGGGAATGCAGTTATTTAGAGACTATAGTTTCACTTTCCTTTCCTGTCACCGCCCAGATTTCAGGCAAGTTTCCCCCTCCGCATTCTAATTTTAAATTAGGAGAGAATTCCCCGGCCGCAGCAGGTGACCCCGGGGCATCCCGGGGGGCTGTAGTTTCCAGGGCGCGCGGCATGCACAACCCAGCATGCGCGCACCGAGGGGCGAGGGCAGAGAGGTCCCAGGTACAGTCGCCCGGGCGGGAGCCTCCCGCGCCTTCCCATCGGGCCTCCGCGACAAGCGACACTCAATAACCCTCAACCATACTCACTTCTTGCTTAGTTTCGGCTCGCCATCCACTTTCACTTCAGGCTCCTGCAACGAAGCCATGCTCCTGGCGGGCCAAACCTAAAAATACCCAGGGAAGAGCTACAACTTCCAGGTCAGGGGCGCGAAGCCCCGCCCCTTCCTGGAATTGGGAGCCGGCAGGTCGCCACCGCGCAGGCGCAGTGCCGGGTTATCCGCGCGCAGGCTCAATGAGGGCCGTCGTCTTGTAGGCCCAATCATCCTTCACCACAGTGCCGGGTTGTCGGCGCAGGCCTAGTGCCGGGCTCTCAGTGCACAGGCGCAGTGCGGAGTTAGAGCTGCGCAGGTGCATTGCTGGGCCGTCGCCGCGCAGGCGCAGTGTTGTTTGCGCGCTGCTTCCCGGGCGTTTGTTTGGGGGCGGTTCCTTGAGGATCCTGGCCGCAGATATGGCGGAGCCGATGGACCTAAGTAAAGACCCCAACGGGCCCACTCATTCTTCCACTCTGTTCGTGAGGGGCGATGGCAGCTCCATGTCGTTCTACGTGCGGCCCAGCCCGGCCAAGCGCCGGCTGTCGACGCTCATCCTGCATGGCGGCGGCACAGTGTGCCGGGTGCAGGAGCCCGGAGCCGTGTTGCTGGCTCAGCCCGGGGAGGCGCTGGCCGAGGCCTCGGGCGACTTCGTCTCCACGCAGTATATACTGGACTGCGTGGAGCGCAACGAGAGGCTGGAGCTCGAGGCCTACCGGCTGGGTTCGACCTCAGCGGCCGATCAAACCTCGCCCGAGGGCTCCACGGAGCCCGAGCCGCAGCCCCTCACTGGGCGGATGGCCTTCACGGCCGCGGACGACGTGGCCATCCTGACCTACGTGAAGGACAACGCGCGCTCGTCCAACTCCGTGACGGGCAACGCCCTTTGGAAGGCGATGGAGAAGAGCTCGCTCACGCAGCACTCGTGGCAGGCCCTCAAGGACCGCTACCTCAAGCACTTGCGGGGCCAGGAGCACAAGTACCTGCTGGGGGACGCCCCAGTCAGCCCTTCCTCGCAGAAGCTCAAGAGGAGGGCCGAACAGTACCCGGAGGCCGCGGACAGCGGGGGTGAGGCTGTGGACATCCCCTATTACATCCCTTGTTGACATTCCCTCTTGATATGCTGATATTCCCTGTTGATTTCCCAGGTTGACGTCCCCTGTAGACATGTTGACATCCCCTGTAGACATGTTGACATCGCTTGTGGACATCCGCTATGGACATCCCATGAAGACACCCCCTGTTGACATGTTGACATCCCCTGTTGAGGTCCCCTGTTGACATCCCCTGTAGACATGTTGACATCCCCTGTGGACATCCCCTATTGACATCCCTCTGAGGACACCCTCTGTTAACATGTTGACATCCCCTGTAGACATGTGCTGGGATGACACAGTTGAGCCACCATGCTTGGTTATGGTGGCTTGCTGTTTATGTAACTGGTATTAATAGCTTAAATGACAGACACTTTTGTTTAAAAAGGCATGCCTTCTCCTAGCTCCTGTCTCTGTCTGGGGAGGTAAAAACTATTTCTCCTCTTTCAGCATGCTTAGTAGGAGTTCTGTTTTTCATAAAAGTGACATTTCAGATTCATTCATTCAACAGCTATTTGAGTGCCAGACACTTGTCCTGCTGGGATATAACAGTAAATAAAATCCCTGTGGTCTTGGAGCGTAACATGCTAGCTGGGCAGTGGTAAGTGCTGTAGAGAAAATACAAACTGGGGTAAGGGTTGGGGAGGAGGTCTTTTTCTGTAGGGTAAGAGAAGGCCACTGTTAAATTGATGTGCAGAGACCCAAAGAGTAAAAGAACAGCCCAAGAGGTTTCCTGGGAAGAATGTTTCAAGCCAAAGAAATAGCGAGTCCAAAGGCCCTGAGTTGGGAGTGTGACTGGAATGTTCATGGAGCCAGTGTTAAAGAGTATGGCTGCAATGGATTAAGAGATAATTCTAGCAGGTGAGGTCTGGCCTGTGTGCATGGATGGTTATCAGTTAGGACCTTTCATTAAAATCACTAGTCTTGAGACTAATGGTAAGTCACTTGGAGCTTGGGCAAAATTAAGTCAGATTCACCCTTTCATCAAAATAATGTTTTGATGATAAAGCATTTAAATATAAAAATCCTAAAATGACTAAGAAATTATGGATGAATATAGCACGATCATTATCATGAAACCAAAAAGGCTTAAGGAAAACATTTTTTTTTTTTTTTTTGGTTTTTTTTGGAAAAGATTCCCCCAGTAGCCCAAGTTGCCCGGA